ACCCAAATTGAATTACTTCCAATGGAAATTAAACAAATGTTGGTCCAAAATGTGATTTCCCTATATAAACTATAGTAAAGTTTACCCCCTCCCCAGGGGGAAACGTGAGACCCCAGGGTCAAGAAATTCACAATTTCGCTAAAGCACCTCTCTGAGATTCACAATTTCCGAAGTAGTTTTAATTGTGGCTGATGCGAACATAAAATAATTTGGATTATTCAAAATTCACAGGTAAATTCGGCATGTCTTACAAATTTCATCCATATAACATTCAACTGTAACCTTGACTCTACACAGCAATGACCTTGACATTTCATTGGTTAAATTAGTTTACCGACACTTTATTTATTGAGCCAGGCACGAAAAAAAAAATCAAAATTGAAAACCTGTTATAATGTTTCATCAAGAAAAGTTGCTTACTAACCCGACTTTGATTCCAAAATGAAATTTGAAATGAGTACCTGTAACGGATAAGGTTAACTCATTAACCCCTGAAGACACATTTGAACTCTTCCAATTCAAAGGTTGGAATAGTTCATTATGAAATTTCAGGGGTGGAGTTAAGGCAAATAAATTTAACAAAATATAGTATTGCTGCATACCTTGGAATGAATCTTCACATACTTCACATAATTAAAACAGTCAGAGAGATAAGATACAAAAGTGGACCGATATCTGTATGATTGTCAGACTATTTTAATTAGAAATTCTTTTCTAGCAGACAATATTTCACGTAAACACTCCAATATAATTATTGCACTTTTATCAGCACATCACCTTCATTGTAAAGTATCACAGAGTGATATATATAACACATATAAAACCCAGATTTACTGGAGGGTGTCTCGGCTGTGTTGGCAGGGGGACTGGTTAGATTACAAAATGAAAACAAAAAGGATTCCTTCCCCTCCAAACTAACATAACAATGTCTGAAAAATGCTTCTATTTTAATATCTTTCAAAAGATAAATATTTGATAAAAATATGTTGATTTCTATTAATTTTGAAAATATAGAAAGCACCTTATGAAAGCTGTATGGCAAACAAATAGCACCTGTTGTATTTCATCCTCATCCACTGTAATGTAATTCTAAATAAAATTCTGTCAGATGATATTCAGATTGAAATAATTTCACTACAATTAGAATCATTTTATGCTCTTTTGTACATCAAATCATTCCAAAACATGCCACATATCAGATTGAAGACTTTATGATCCCTCAAACTGTTAAAATCCAACAGATACCAAAGTGGAAATATGCATTTCATAGTTTTAGTGATGTACACTGACGCCTTACTCCACAACTGTTATACCACATAACGGCAATACCTCAGATTTCATTATTTATTAAATGTGTATATATTATCAAGATTGAAATTAAAACATTGATGTTCTTGAATTTATACTTACCTACATTATAAAACAAGCCATTTGGATTGATATGTCTAGCCTATGCCCCGCTTTGACCATCAATGCACATGTCAGAGAAACTAACTTACACGCAAAAACTTAATGTTGATTGAGATGCTGACAAAGTCAATGGACCATGAAAGGTAGGCTGCATCAAGCATTTGATGCATGGGTTGAGATGTACTACCTACGATGCATCTATGGTCCAAGTTTGGTTGGTGTAGCACTTATACTTTCAGAGAAACTAACTTATCGGGTAAACACAAAAACTTAATGTTGACGCCGTCGGCAAAAAAGGAACACCTTAGTCTCACTTCCACTTCATGACAGTGAGACAATAAAACCTGTGTTTTAGCTGTAATTTGAACTAGAATAAGTTGGGTTTCTTATTCACCCAAATAGTTGCATATGGTCAGCACAATAACAGGCACATCTGTTGAACCTTAAAAACAATTCAAGAATACCACAGCTGATCGGAGGCCAGTGTAGCCATTTTGGATAATGACTGAAAATTTGGTAAGGGCCAAGTGAGAATTATATGTCAAAACGTTTTGTCCAAATCAGCTTTATTTAAGTTGAACATGTTTTGGACATGCAAAGGCCATGGAACACATCTTGGATTTCGAACCAGCAAATCCCTTCTGGCATTATGAATAGATATTTTATTTATTTGACAACAATTATGAAATGAGTTATCTCAACTTATATTAATCAACTCTTGTTGGCCAGGATGTAACAAATAGCACACAGGGGGTCTTAATGTGGGAGGAAACCAGAGTACCAGGAGAAAACCAGAGTACCAGGAGAAAACCCACATGGTTGGGCAGGTTACCCTATACCTTTTCACCTCTGATCATGGAATCAAACCCCAGCCACCATGGTGTAAGACCAGTGTGTTATCCACTGTCAGGCTGTGCCATCCAAACAAATGTTTTAACTAATGAAAACGTTTTTGCTGTACAAACAGCAAAAGCCTTTTCAGGGCATAAGCTCGCCAACAACTTGTGATAGATGAGCAAAAAACTTGGAAACATTAATCTTTAAAAAACGAAAATTAAAATTGATTTTAGTATGTTGGGTAACAAATGAAGTTTGATACATCTAGATTGCATTAATAATTCAGTTTTCTATGTAAGGAGGTATACACACAAGCCAGTCCGTGTACAGCCGAGCCCTCCCTATCAACAACAGAACGTAAAACATACGCATATGTCAAACGACCATGATATTTCTTCCGACGATAAAAGTAAAACAATCAATGCATGCACCAGGCTTAATACATATTTATCATCATTTAAAAACACAAAACTTTTCATGTCCATAACATATTAGTCGACAGTTAATTCATCATCATTTAAAACATCCCTGGCTAGCAATCCAACGTACCATTTGTTTAATCCTCTCTCTCACTACCAAAGCTGTAAGGAATGCAGGTATCCGTTTGTAATGACATCTTTGAAGATAAAGGCACCAAACAGCTATATTTCTTACTGTTTAACACACAGAGAAGAACATTCACACTACACATGATAGCTATTTCACAATGTTAAGGTGCAGCATGCAGCAAATTACATGGTAATAATTTTTCTGAGCGCTATCAAATTATTGACAACAAAATCTGTGAAACTTCATTTCACATTTTACTGTTGAAAACCCCAAATACCCAGTGTCAGCAAGTACTTATTAACGTAGTGACCTCTAATACCCAGAGTCCATTAGTACTTATTAGCGGAGGGTTCTCTAATACCCAATGTCAGCAAGTACTTATTAAAGGAGTGACCCCAAATACCCAGTGTCCATTAGTCCTTATTAATGGAGTGATCTCAAATACCCAGTGTCAGCAAGTTCTTTTTTTCGGAGTGACCTCTAATACCCCGTGTCAGCAAGTACTTATTAAAGGAGTGACCCCAAATACCCAGTGTTCACTAGTACTTATTAATGGAGTGACCCCAAATACCCAGTGTCAGCAAGTTCTTTTTTTCGGAGTGACCTCTAATACCAAGTGTCCATTAGTACTTATTAGCGGAGTGATCTCAAATCCCCAGTGTCAGCAAGTACTTTTTAACGGAGTGACCTCTAAGACCCAGTGTCAGAAAGTACTTATTAACGGAGTGCCCTCTAATACCCAGTGTCAGTTAGTACTTATTAACGGAGTGCCCTCTAATACCCAGTGTCAGTTAGTACTTATTAACGGAGTGCCCTCTAATACCCAGTGTCAGTTAGTACTTATTAACGGAGTGCCCTCTAATACCCAGTGTCAGTTAGTACTTATTAACGGAGTGGCCCCAAATACCCAGTGTTCATTAGTACTCATTAATGGAGTGACCCCAAATACCCAGTGTCAGCATGTACTTATTAACGGAGTGACGCCAAATACCCAGTGTCAGCATGTACTTATTAACGGAGTGACGCCAAATACCCAGTGTCAGCATGTACTTATTAACGGAGTGACGCCAAATACCCAGTGTCAGCATGTACTTATTAACGGAGTGACGCCAAATACCCAGTGTCAGCATGTACTTATTAACGGAGTGACCTCAAATACCTAGTGTCAGCCAGTACTCATTAACCGAGTGACCTCCAATACCCAGTGTCAGCAAGTACTTATTAGCGGAGTGATCTCAAATACCCAGTGTCAGCAAGTACTTATTAACCGAGTGACCTCCAATACCCAGTGTCAGCAAGTACTTATTAACGGAGTGACCCCAAATACCCAGTGTTCATTAGTACTTATTAATGGAGTGACCCCAAATACCCAGTGTCCATTAGTCCTTATTAATGGAGTGATCTCAAATACCCAGTGTCAGCCAGTATTTATTAACCGAGTGACCTCCAATGCCAACTAACCCACTGTTACTTATCAACCCTGTAACCCTAGCACCCATCAGCCCACCCTGTAACCCTAGCCCCCATTAGCCCACCCTGTAACCCTAGCCCCCATCAGCCCACCCTGTAACCCTAGCCCCCATTAGCCCACCCTGTAACCCTAGCCCCCATTAGCCCACCCTGTAACCCTAGCCCCCATTAGCCCACCCTGTAACCCTAGCCCCCATTAGCCCACCCTGTAACCCTAGCCCCCATTAGCCCACCCTGTAACCCTAGCCCCCATTAGCCCAGTTATACTAACAGATCTAAGTTATTGCTACATCATTCTATGAGACAGTTATCTACATGTTGGTTGATTTCATCATTTTTTACTTTACTATCAAACTCCTTCCCACATATTGGACAGCTCATGTTCGGTTTAGCTTCCTTCTTGGCAGTAGCCTTGGCAAACATTGACATGATGTTTGACTGCCGAGGTCGTTTAGCTTCTCTGGAAGACGTGCTGCTCTCTGCACTACGTTTCTTCGACAGATTTTGTTTCCCCGAGTTTGAATCTGGTTTTGGAGATTTAGTACTATTGGAAGCTTGAGTTCTATGTTTTTTTTCTTTAAGTTCTGCTTTTGTGATAGTCCCACCATCAGAACCTGTCTCTTTAGAGTTACTTCCCTTTGTAACTGAGCTTTCTAGGTCACTTGCATTAGAACCTGACCTTTCTGGATCCGACTTTGACTCAGATTTAACCTGGTTATTGTCACTTTCTGCTGAATTGTTAACTTTGCCCTTTTTGTCTGATTTTGTGTCATCATCCCATGGAGACAAATTGGAGTCCTTATCATTGTCTTTTTCACACAAGTCAGGGTCTATGACAGCCTGTGATGGAGGACCTGACTCACATATCGAAATATTCTCACAGATATTCTCGGACTTCTTCTGCCCAGCAGATTTGAAGAAATTTTTAAGAGTGACAGGTGGTCTCAAAGCACGAGCAAGAGACTTAGCATTAACGGGAGTTACTTCCTCATTCACCAACAAACCCACTTCCTGCTTCCCATCGTCATCTTCACAACCATTCGAAGCTCCACTTCCACCTGCAGCAATACTACCATCAGGATTTCTCTTCAACACCTAGAAACATAGCAATAGCATGTTGAAACATTCTCACAGATGTACAAGGCTGTCAATCTAAAAGATAAAGATTGGAATAAATTGCTAGCAATCTAGAGTCCCCATCTCTAAACAAAATTATGTTTCGTTATGGAAGGGACGATAACTCTGTATAAATTTGGTTTTGTGATGGAAGGAACCATAACTCTGTAAAAATTTGGTTTCATAAAGGAATGGACCATAACTCTGTATAAATTTGGCTTCATGATGGAAGGGACCATAACTCTGTATATATACTGGACTCAAGAACTAAATTTCAGTGAAGGCTCAGAGTGCAGCATCATGTGGATGAGACGAGAAGACTAGTGTGATCCTTTGATGTAAATCAAAAGAATCTCACTGTCGTGTAACGGTAAAACGAACTGGCTTTGAAGTCGGGCGTCGCTCCTCTGTAATCTTCAAAGGACAAGTATCAGCCTAGTGATTGGTCAGGTTGTTTTTTTACCCGACACCAATCAAATAGCTAGCCCTGTGCATTCAATTTTGCTATGACATATTCCAGCGGTGTAGAGATCCAAAGTGAGCATAAACCCTGGATATCGAGGATGGTGACAGTGTACCTGATGTCCCAAACAATGTAATGCACTGTGAGCAAAGGGCCATAACTCTGTCTTAAATTTGCCTTAACTCCACCCCTGAAATTTCATAATAAACTATTCCAACCTTTGGATTGGAAGAGTTCAAATGTGTCTTCAGGGGTGAATGAGTTCACAGTTCTTCTCTAAATCAGCACAAAATCTTCCGGGCAGGGTAGAGAAATTACAGAAACACAAGTTACTTTTTTAATTGCTTACGATGTAATAATCATAATAATAATTTGAGGTTTCTTATATACCGCTTTATCACAACCTAGTTCGTCAGTCGTCTCAAAGTAGTTGACTAATTATTATCTGTTGTTATTGGGCCTTTGCAACCAGCAAATATCTTTCTCAACTCCCTGGGGAGCATACAGCCGGTGCTGCCATTTCGAAGCTCACAGCTAGCATTCAACAATTCTAGCACTGCCCAACCATGTACTCATTTACAGCTGAGTGGATTGGAACAAGCGGAGTAAAGTATCTTGCTCAAAGATGCAACACAGTGCTGTGCCATGACTCGAACCAACAACCATTCGGTCATGACTACTTATATTTCCTTAATTTGATTGGTCCGTATAGAAACCTAACCGTAATCCAGTGATGAATCTCATGGCAGAAAGAGGAACATGTGTCAAGTGGTTAACCTTGTGTCAGGCTAATAGGGTTTAACATTATGTACGAGAGACAATTACAATCTCATCATTCTTCCTTCATATTTTATCTAATATTTTTAAAACTAATCAATATGTGTGAAGTTTTGGGCAATTTCCAACAGTTTTACTATTAAAATTCGAGCGTAAACGATCTGAAATCTACTGTAAGCGATCAAATTCAATTATGTTTAACTTCGAAATCAGTCTTCAGAGTTTTACCCTAAACACTGAACATGGTAATGCAATCAGCCGTGGACTGGAACAAACCTAAATTGATTTGTGTTAATCTGCTAAAGAAAAACTAGTCAATATCAAGTCAGAACCCAATATGCTTGATAGGACCCTAAGTATGCACAGCAGAGCTCTCTCCTTGCCCGCAGTGTAGTCTTAAATTGCCAAAGTTTGGAAATCAATGTCAAAAATTAGTCAATTATCATCTGTTAGGGGAGTTACAAGCCTATTGGTCGGCCCTGATTGATACTGCAGCTTAAGATGTGTACACAGTTTCTTTTGAAGATAGAGTGGTGCTTGCTCAGATAACCCCGATTACTAGCTAAGGGTTGTACAGCCAGCTCTTACACAGCCTTTAAATCCATACACTAATTATAGACATTCATCAATTTTCACACGGAAGATAAGGTTACGGCCTATAATTAAATCAGATTAATACAGTCAAAAAGATTTCCCATGTTCCAGATGTAGAGTTTGATATGATACATGCATATGAGGAACCCTAACAGAATAACTCAATACTATTCAACGAAGAACTCTATAAAATCCCCCATAAACACTAAAATACAGTGGACAAACATCATTAAGATGAATAACTGTAGTCTGGATAAGGCAGCTGTTAACTAGCTCTATTTACCAGGGTACATAGAAGTGGATCTAGAAGACTGAAGGTCAGGTTTCTATTGTACACAGGGTTTTGCTTAGACAGGTCTGAATAAAGACACCATACACATATACACATAAAACAAGGTTATTAATTTGAACAAACTTGGTAGCCCTTTATCCCAGTATCTCTACCTAGGCCTGTTGGTTATTCAGAAGAAATCGTTAAAAGATTTTAACATATTTGACCCGTGTGACCTTGAAAATGAATGAAGGGTCATTCATTTGAACAAAATTGGTAGCCCTTCATCCCAGCAAGCTACTGGCCAAATATCATCACCCTAGGCCTTTTGGTTACTGAGAAGTAATAGTGCAGACAAGTACATTGTATGATCAGGTTTCTTTTGAGTGATAAGTACCTGAAACAAAAGGCCTTTTCGTTTATGCGGAACAAACGGTTTGTCAGTTTTTAAATGTAACAATTTTGGGTATAAATTCTGGCGGACCTGCAAATGTTTATGCAAGCCCTGCAAGGCTTTGTCAAGGCTTGCCTGAAAGCAGCATCAGATTACTAGGTCCGACCTTATTTAATAAACGAACAACTGTGGTCCAACTGGTTCAACCGTTAAAACTAAAACGGCCAAAATGTTATCCATAGGAGAACACCTGTATTTAAAATTGTATCATTGCCAACAAGAATATTGCAATAACCAGCAATTCAAACAGTCTTCCAATCCCCTAAGAAGTAAATCTGTCATTAACAAGAACCCAACATATATATGCATATATATACAAATCAACTAATCATCTTTACACAAATAGATTTCTTTTGTGACGATAATAAGAAAATGATATGTCTTATTCGATTCTTTCAAATGAATAACTTTGCCCCATCACTCTTCTGGCTTATTGGTTGGGTGAAGCCCAGAGTCATGAAATTCTAAGTATTCATTATTTGTCTAAAAGCACAGACAAGTAAATGCCGATACTTGACCTTAAGTTATAAAACATTAAATTCCCTTGACTCAGGGAGAATCCATGCCAAATTTGTCAAACTACTTCTGTCATTTTGTTTTAGAAAAAATATGTGATGGTGCATGGAGTGATGCTGCAACACAGCATAAACTCACTTAGCCCTTTGGGACATAGTAGCTAAAAATTACTATCACTTATTATTTATCGTATAATTATGAAATTATTCAAGGGGGCCCACACATAATCTGACTGTGAGTAGGGGGATGGGCTTATTACAAGATAAATACGGTAAGACCAATTAACTGGTTCATTTCAAATAATTATATCAAATTTTACGACGAAAATTTCACACTCCAAATATACTCACAGACTGAGAGAGCTGTACCTTCTCCACCATGTGCTGTTCTTTCAGGACTTTCTTCACCTCTGACAGAAGGATGAGTGGGTAGCGAACTCCAACCACCCTCTCACCACTGTCTAACTGTGCCCGAACCACACGCACCGACGACTCAGACTTACTGCAATATACAACAGAGTACAGAATGAGTGTAACAATATCACTCAGACTTACTGTAGTAACATACAACACAGCACAGAATTAATGTAACAATATCACTCAGACTTACTGTAGTAACATACAACACAGCACAGAATTAATGTAACAATATCACTCAGACTTACTGTAGTAACATACAACACAGCACAGAATTAATGTAACAATATCACTCAGACTTACTGTAGTAACATACAACACAGCACAGAATTAATGTAACAATATCACTCAGACTTACTGTAGTAACATACAACACAGCACAGAATTAATGTAACAATATCACTCAGACTTACTGTAGTAACATACAACACAGCACAGAATTAATGTAACAATATCACTCAGACTTACTGTAGTAACATACAACACAGCACAGAATTAATGTAACAATATCACTCAGACTTACTGTAGTAACATACAACACAGCACAGAATTAATGTAACAATATCACTCAGACTTACTGTAGTAACATACAACACAGCACAGAATTAATGTAACAATATCACTCAGACTTACTGTAGTAACATACAACACAGCACAGAATTAATGTAACAATATCACTCAGACTTACTGTAGTAACATACAACACAGCACAGAATTAATGTAACAATATCACTCAGACTTACTGTAGTAACATACAACACAGCACAGAATTAATGTAACAATATCACTCAGACTTACTGTAGTAACATACAACACAGCACAGAATTAATGTAACAATATCACTCAGACTTACTGTAGTAACATACAACACAGCACAGAATTAATGTAACAATATCACTCAGACTTACTGTAGTAACATACAACACAGCACAGAATTAATGTAACAATATCACTCAGACTTACTGTAGTAACATACAACACAGCACAGAATTAATGTAACAATATCACTCAGACTTACTGTATTTGATTAGAGTGATGGAATCTTCACAGATGTGCTCAATTTAGTATGACAACATAGAATATGGCGTAAAGTAACTAGTATTGACTTTATAGAATCCTGATCAACAGTCTGAACTACATGTTTGAATCTTCTGGAGAAAGTGTGAATACAAAATGTTCTCACCTGAGGTGAAGTTTGGCAGCAAACCGGTTCAGCGTGGCTTCAAGTACAGACATAAGGGAGACAATACTGCCACACACTAGGTGGATGTTGTTACACCGTATTCCAACTGTGGGAGATAAAACAGGGGAGGTAATTAACACATATCTCTTGGTCATGTCAGGGGAGGTAACATATATCTCTTGGTCATGTCAGGGGAGGTAACACATATCTCTTGGTCATGTCAGGGGAGGTAACACATATCTCTTGGTCATGTCAGGGGAGGTAACACATATCTCTTGGTCATGTCAGGGGAGGTAACACATATCTCTTGGTCATGTCAGGGGAGGTAACACATATCTCTTGGTCATGTCAGGGGATATGTAACACATGTCACCTTGACTTGGTCATATCTGGGGAGATAACACATGTCACCTTGATCTGGTCCTATCAGGGGAGGTAACACATGTCACCTTGATCTGGTCCTATCAGGGGAGGTAACACATGTGACTTGGTCATGTAAGGGGAGATAACACACGTGACTTGGTCATGTTAGGGGAGATAGCACAGGGGCAGTAACACGTCACTTGATCAGGTCAGGGGACGCAAAACATGTCCATTTGAATTGGTCATGTTAGAGGAGGTAACCTAAACTATTATGGCCATGTGAGAGAGACAGCTTCTGTCACTTTGTTATGTCAGGGGAGGCAACTTGTATCGTCTTGATTATGTGGGGAGGTAACTCATGTCAACTTTTCATGTCAGAAGAGGTAAATTTTTCACCTGGTCATTATCGTATCACCTTTTCATGTAAGTCATATTTGTCGGGGTAACAAAGGTTTCCTGGTCATGCCAAGGGAGGTAATGTGTTATCAAGGGAGGTAACAAATGGTTTCTGTTTAGGGCAGAGGAGAAAACATCAGAAAGTACAGAATCTATCCCCCATGATAGATTTACAGGAGTGTAATATTAAAAGTATATGAGTATTATAGAAATCTGCCTTGTGTCTTGAGCCAGACCTGTATCAACAGAAAAGCAACATCGTATGTGTGCACTGACAGGCTGTGGATGCCGTTGGAAGGTCCATTATAGTTAAATGACCACTTGGCAGGCAGTATTGTGCCCGGAACGGTATCCATTACAAAGATATACCCTAGACTCCTCAGTCTAATGGTGGTAACTTATAGGGACTATTATTTATAGCAGTTCTTGTGTCATTGACAGACAAGTGTAACAATTTCACCAGAGCAAGACCAGGGGGTCTAGACAAGGGGGTCTAGACAAGGGGGTCTAGACAAGGAGAGAGGAACGATACTGTCAGGGCCAGAAATACGGTACACTGTCCGCCTAGCCCTTCATCAACCTCTCAATACCCGGGACTATACCTGGCCACATGCACTCAGTAATTGTGACGTGTCCAATCTTCTGTCTTGTAGCCTTCATCATTTTGAGATAAATAGAAAACCAATCTTCACGAATGTTAGTTTACTATCCTGATCTCGTCTTAATAGAATCCAGCAAATATAAATTGAAAATAGATTGAAGGATCATGTGTCCCACAGTTGTGCATGCCTTAAAGATGAAAAGCACCCATTTAGGATAAATCTACCTTTGATTCTGTGATTTAGTTGTCTAGCATTGCCCGATTACGATTACAACTGAACATGACATCACGCCTCATCAATGCAGATGACATACATTTGAAGCAGAGCAACAATCAAACTATCAGTTCCATCAGGTCATGGAAATTTCAACAACTCTATCTAAATAAGGAGGGTAAACAACTATAAATTCAGGTGCAATAAATGTTACATCTTTGCGTAGGAACCTGATCAGTTGACAATACTATATCAATTTCAAAATGTTTTCATAAATTATTATTTTCCATTCCCTTTATTTTATTATATTACTATGGGGTTGATTTATTCTAGTTGTTAAACACAAGCAATTTGTGGAATAAATATCCTTTGCTGTGCTTTGCTCTTATAAGTAGTTCATCAATATCGTTTTCAGGAATAGCAATAGATGGAAAGATGAAACAAGAGGCCTAATGGGTCTGAGCATTGCCATTATGTAAGGACATCCGCAAGTTTGGCTTCATCCCATTAATAATTTTCAGGAATAGCAATAGATGGAAAGATGAAACAAGAGGCCAAATGGGTCTGAGCATTGCCATTATGTAAGGACATCCCCAAGTTTGGCTGCATCTCATTAATAACTGTCATGAATATCAACAGATGGACAGATGAAAGAACTGAAAAAAATAACCATTTTTCAGAAAGGTAGAGGACAAATCTTGAAATCAAAATATGTGTATGAGAATGAAAATAGACACATTTTAAGATGAAATGAGTAAGTACCTTTACAGCGGCTTCCGTTCTTACAAGTCTTGCCATGCATACATCGATCCAGGGTCTGTTCATACATCTCCGTCCAGGCCGTCTCTATAACATAAACAACAGACAATCACACAAACAACTTAATATTCGTTAAACTTACCCATATTTTGCGATACATATGGTTTTAAGATAATGGAATAAGAGTGGGCCTAGTATTCAAATATCTCAAAAGTAGTCAATATTTACCAACCTGAAGAAAAAGTTTATAAATCTCATAAGTATACTTGTTCAGATACGTTTGAAGACACTGTGCATGGCATTGCATTATATCGAGAAATTTTCACTGCAGTTTCACTTTCGCCATTTGTACCCTCTCTGATGAAGGCTAATTTATCATTATCACAATTTAGTAAATAACAGAATGAATATAGTAATCAAAAGTGAACGCCAACATTAACACTGGGCGGGTGAGGATTTTACCTGTGTACGGTAAAAGTGTGACTGGGATAAAGTTTCACGATACAGTGTATATGGTATATTTGATTTTTTTTTTATTATTTATTTTGTTTGTGAAGTGAAATGGTTGCTAGTAAGATTTTTAAGCTGAATAATGAGGATTTACAGTAGATCATTCTTTATTCATCTGAAGTTGGTTTCTGTATTGTTTTTCATATAACGACGGTATGCCTTTTTCTGTTATTTTACAGAAAACCATAACTTTGCCTGTGAACCTGCCCACGCCTCAGCTGTCACCATAGATACGGTTCTCACACTCGGACTTATCCTGCTTCTCATTCCCCTCATCTTGTGAGGAGATGACACCACGACATCAGAAGCAGAAGAGATGTGAACCATCGGGGGGGAATAACTCCACGAAAACCATTCCCATGTTTTGCGAAGAAACAACGAAATTTCAACACCCTACGTATCACATGCTCCAGACATGAACAAACATCGAACTCCCTGGGCAAAAGGTATCAGTGCAGAAAACAAGAGAATCATGGGATAGGTCCCAGAGGTCAAAGGTCAATATTTGAATGATAGGAATTACAGTGGGCTATACAATCAGTTAGAATGCCAGTAGTGAACTGGACAGAGGGGAGAATTTTGAATGCTGGACACACTCAGAATAACGGCAGTTAAAGACCAGTAAGTCTGCAGTTCTAGATATAGCCGAACAATAATATGAAGTCAGACCGAAGGAGACAGCGGAAAACTGAATTCTTCAACATCAGCTTAGGGCCTATTTCTTTGAGGAAATAATGCTTTAAAATCAAAATTGTCATCAAAATGAATAAAAAATACCCATGATATTTATATTCTAATCAATATTTATACATCTGTTAAAAATTTACAATGAAAAACTGCCTCCAAACATAGTTAATATAATCAAATATCATGGTGTTAACATCAAGTGTATCTTCAATACAAAATGTTGTGTATGCAAGTTACAATGAAACGTTTATTGTGAATGTCATATATAACAGTGATATTTACTAGGCATTTCATGGTGTGTACGAGACTGAAATGTTGTATTCCAATTGTTGGTGTGTTCACTTTGTTAGTGTTTTACATTGTTGGTATATTTACATTGTTGTTGCGGTTTTATCCTTTGTTTGTTTGTTTATTGTTGACCTTTGAACTTTTTACGTTGGAAGTTATAGCCGACACATGATTTTGTGTACCACACAGATGATTGTTTTGTAAGCTGTAATCATGTAAAACAAAACACTGTTTTTATATATAGCTGGTACGTTTCCCACAAAACCAAAGGCCTAGCTGAGATATGACACAGGCGATCGGTTGGTATGTATGATCCCACGAACAGTACATGTGTGTAATATTTGTAGGTGATTCCTGTAAATATTTCTGTTTTAACACGACAGTTTGCCAAAACTATCCAACTTTGTATCTGTTAGGTAGTGGTTTTTTTTTATATAAATAATTACAAAATGGATCATTTAGCTTCAAATACAACCAACACTTAGTAGAAAACTTTTATCAGAATTCAAAAGAAGATGAAGACACATGAGGACTGAAACCTGTAAACTAGACTGATATTGCTGAGACTCCCATCTCAACGATGTCTGTCCATCTCTTCTTTTGAATTTTAAATACTCTTATGGCCAAACTAGTGAATTCCGTTTAGGAGTCTATCAAGCGGGGTATGCAGAACTTCACTGAACATGCCACTAGCAGACATTGGATCCCATTTCCCCTTGTATTTTCTACTGAACATACCACTAGCAGACATCGGATCCCATTTTCCCTTGTATTAACTCATTCACCCCTGAAATTCAATAACGAACTATTCCAACCTTTGGATTGGAGGAGTTCAAATGTGTCTTCAGGGTTGAGTGAATGAGTTAAATAACAAAATAGTTACAAATGAAACTTGTTTGTCCAATCCGATCAGGAGGATCGTTACTGAGGCAGTTAAAGACAATAGTTAGTAAATGCATTTCATATTTTTCAGCAATAATACAACCATTCTAAGCAATACTAACCCTTTCAACCCTATGTAACTTTAATAGACTCTACCATGCATTGATCTGGATGAGTCCATTATGGTCTACAGTGGTGACAGGGCTAATGTTGGTCCATCCACATCACTTTTCAATTAATTAAGAGTGATATACATAAAAATCTTGTTAAATTTTATATCTGTTTATTTTAAAGTCACAATGTGATATTGCTATTCTGTCTTGTTTAGAAATCTTGATATTCTGTATTGTTTTTTTATCTAATCACTATTGTCTTTAAAAGTCACTATATCATTTGAATTTTGGTTTATTTTTTATATATAATTATCACTATTTCCTATGCAGTCTTTTTTCCCCATACATACAGCTTGGAAGCTAATATAATCATAAATCGAACCCAGTAGGGAAGTGTAGATAATGTTGTCATGTTTGTATGTCAGAATTGCCCCGTTGATGTAGATAACCCTATTTCCTTATGTTGTGTCTTCGGTGACTGTACATAAGTGTAAATTAAAACGGCGAATCAATAAAAACAACATCAGGGACCTAGGTATATTATTATGTACATTTCGAATTCCGTTCCCTGTGCTTGTACATTTCGTATCTACCCATCAAGTATTTCTGTATGTAATGCGTTCCCTTTGATGGAAAATTTCGTACCTGTCTGTACAGTATTTCTGTTTGCTAAATGGTCACCGTAGTTGTATATTTCATATCTAACTGTAAAATATTTCTGTGTGTTAGGCTTTCGTATTTACAATGACATAAGTAGCGTGATGTCCCGTATGTGTATAATGGCAATACCTTGTATAAATAAACGAGCAAATGTCTACATTTCTCTGACAAAATCACATCAAATATGAGTACATGTGTATCATACATTTGATTTGATGAAATTATTAGTTGGTTTCTAGATTCTGAATGGCGTTCCAACCTCACAATAAATATAGATCTATTCCGATGCCTACACCGAACCTAGTTAAATCAGTGACGTGGCGGTACAGTGGTAAATGTGAGTTAAAGTGTTCTGATGACCTTGTCAACCAAACCTGAATGGCATCAACTGGTTTCAACAAAATTCAGAAAAAAAACACTTTTGTCACGACTTTTACATTTTAAGATGTTAAAAAGAAGTTTTTTTTATCAAGACTCTTTTATCAGAACTTTTATAAACAGGTATAAATGTTTATTACAAGAAAAGAAATTGACACTCATGATCAGGAAAACTTGCAAAGTGAAAGCTGAAATCACTAGCTTTGACTAGTGGGCCACTGGCTAAATCAACTCCTGTCACAGAGTTTGCTATCTGGACACTCAACACTAAAACACTCAACCCTCAAATCGATTCACAGTAGAACTGAGAATCATTTTATAGTAGTTATCACATGACCATAAAAAAACCTTTTGACACCCTTCAAAATTCAGTGTTAACATCTCCGTTATACATCATATACAAATGTACGGGGGGCAGATTTACTCTCGAAGGAGCCAAAATGTACTACATCGCATGTCTGAACTATCTGCGCTCTGCCTTCACCAATATGTGTCTGGTCAAATTTGACGGGCTTACCATGATATTGAAGAAACCATTTACAGCACTGACAGAGACAGTGCTAGCTGAACTCATTCACCCCTGAAATTTCATAATGAACTATGCCAACCTTTGAATTGGAAGAGTTCAAATGTGTCTTCAGGGGTGAATAAGTTAAAGAGTTGTCACAAGCAAGTAATAAATTTGGTTACACAAAGGAATATGTGAGAAATCTGTAAAAATAATTTGGGCTGCTTGCAATATTTTGCCCATTTTCGTACAAAAGTGTGGTTAACACAATGAATACCAATATAAATAGACGAGATTTTCTCAGTCGATGACCCCACAACTGTCAGCTCAGGGCGACCAACAATCAGTTAACTCTCTTTGTATTATAGAGACACAGATAGTCAATTTAGCACTGCTGAGGCCTAGAACAACAGCATTTACTGACTCAACCACAAAACCAAAATCAGTGTCCAGGTACTTGACTAGTGTAACGACAGGTAATCAGGAAAGGCGTGCAACAATCTTTTTTTAAATACCGGTAACAAAAAAACCCACCAGATATAGCGTGTTATATGATTCAAATGGATTTTGTACAGATAAGAAATACAAGAAATGTTTGAGATCAGTTAGTGAACAAAGCTTCACCAAGCTATCCTATAAAACATTTAAAAATTTGGTAATTGTTTTTATCTAAATAATATTTTTGTTCAATGTCTGTAATTTCAGAGAAACATGTCACATCTACTTACGATTAAAGAGTGTCAGTGTGGTTTTGTGACTGTATATGTTCATTGTTACACTCGACAACCTAAAGTGTCCATAAAGGCCGATTCTAAATGTAACTTTCTATGATAAAAAGCCTGATAAATATAAGCTTTATTTATTTTACAACAATAATGAAACAAGTTTTTTCAATCTAATCATTCTTGTTGGCGCGGAAGTCTTAATGTGGGAGGAAACTAGAGTACCCGGAGAAAACCCACGTGGTCGGGCAGGTGACCCCATACCTTTTCATGTCCGATCGGGGAATCGAACCCCGGCCGCCTAGGTGAAAGGCAAGTGCGCTATCCACTGCGCCACCCCACCACCCGACCACCCTATATGTAACTGTACATACTATAACAAGCCTGATAATTCGACCAGACATGAAGTTGAATGTATTCAGTAATATTGTCCGACATATGTAATACTGATCTATCTTAACTATTCTTTTCATTTAGCATAATTGCTACTACAGAAGCAGTGTCCATGAGATGGTATATAGGAGGCCAGAAGCTGTATTTAGTGTATAACATTCCACTCGACACAGGGCCTGGTTAGACTCACTTCTTTACACTTGTATGTGGGCTCAGCATTGAGTTTTGCTATAAATCCAGCACATTTTTATACATTTGTAATTTTATATTAGAATTTTGACATCTCTTCTTCTTAAATATTGTAGTCTAGGTTTTCTTAGTAAAACATACACCATAGTCCATGATGAATGATTTTTTCAATGTTTTTGTAGGAAAACTACATGGTGTGCAAAAGACCTGATATTAATAACTGTACATATTTTAACTGTTTCCTCACTTGGCGTGTTCTATAAGATATCACAATATTGTGAGATTTACGAGACTCTTTACATCGGGAGAAAATTTAAAAGATCTTCAGCGAGGTAAAAAAAGACCAATGCTTAAGGATATGAAGCAATAAACTCCTTTAGAAAAAGCAAAATAGTGATTCTGGAAAAATTTCAAAAAGTTATTTGAAAATATTCATTCTACATACAAATGTATTATGCTATGAATTTCCAATTGTAAGTATTTTGATATGTTGTACACTTGAAGTGAATCCTAAATGTTTGAAGAGTGTTGTAATATAATTGTATAAGTCAGACTGATGTTGAGAACATGTCTCTACTGAAGCTGTAGATCATTCTGAGCCAGTCTGATCAGTTACCAGGAAAGGCTAGGTGTACTTACACCTGTATCTTGGACACCGAGATACATCCTGATTGGTCGGTTTTTTGTATAGCCTTATTTGGTAACTGAACAAACTCGCTCTCTAGTTAGAAAATGCCATAGGAGATATCTGTAGCACTGATCTTGTATAAATCTCGCGCCATAATTTGAAATAAAAATAAAAAATACAGACGATATTTGTACTTACTGTGTGTAAAATTTATCATCTGATAATCACTACACAGATAATTTTATGTGATGCAAGGGAAATATTAATAAGAACAGTATAAAACTGAACACAAGATATTTAAACGACCCTGCTATGGTATGGTAAGTTAGCCAAGATGAAACTTCAATAGAAAATCAGGTTTGGGACAAAATCACCTTCCATAGGCAAATGAAGGCATAGGCAAATGCAGGCTTGTGTACATTGATTTTTTGGTATGTTGGTAATACTGTATAAGTGCAATTTTATGCAAGGTCAACCATTTCAAAACTAAAGAAATCCAGTGCATGTTAATTTAAGGTAATGAGTTCCACTATTATTTTATTAAATATTGCATACAGGGATTTAAGGTTATTTTCCTGTTAAATTTATGGAAATACTTTTTTCTTCTTTTCGATGTATTTATTACATATTAGGCAATTATAAAAAATATAGAATTTTAACATTTTGAAAGTTCCAGTGTTTACTTTACTATGATAAATTGGCAAACAACAATGCTGAACAAATTGGAACTCTTCTTCTTTGGAGATACAAAATATCACTAGGAGTATCTACCTTAATCTTGTTCAGGTTATGTAATCTAGCAGGTAGCTCTGTTAAGCAGATGTACAAATGCATTGTAAAAGAAAACAACAGGTTATTAACATAACTTTACATAACATAGCAACATATATGAGTTATATAAGTATTGTCACAGGTATCTTCCAATGGGTTTTTTTGGTGTAAGATTTTGATACCATTTCCATTCATTTTTGTATATAATTCAATATTTCATAAATCTATCCATTAATCACAAATTTTAGCTTGACTTTTTATCAAATATCAAACAGTGAAGTTTAAAATCAGTTTTTAACTTGAGGCATAGTGAACTATGACACGCCAAACAACATGGAACTGGTTCTAAGCTTACACTGTTTTGTTAAAAGTAAAGACTGCTGTTGATCTCTATATAAATATTAACTTTGTTATATAATGTAACTGGCATGTTTCTGCATTTAGCAAACAACTGAACTGGACCGATGTCTTTGACTGCCACATTTACTTCAATGTAAAATAGGTAGTCATAGTAACAACAGACATTTACCCTTTCACCCCTAAATAACTTTGGTAGACTCTACCATACATTTATCTTGGCGAGTCCATTTTGGTCTACAGTGGTGAAAGGATTAAAACAAGAAGTTTTATAACAAAAACTAAGACCAATAAATGGCTTAACTATGATGAATAATTAATTTCCATAAACATTATATAAAGCTGTAGAATCAAACTTGTGTACAAAAAAATGTGTTATACAAAAAGGAATATTGTTTTTAATGGCAATACTGGAGGTTCCTGAATTATTGTGTTGTACATATATTTTGTGAGACAGGACCATGCATGGTAATTTTGAGCCGAGAACTGTATTTTAATGTACTCAGGTGAGTTAGAAACTCTCCAGTTTATCTACCAAAACAAACTGAAAGAAAATAGAAACACCTCAAAAATGTTAATGGCATAAAATCTAGCTTAAATGAACAATCATCTTTTTAAATTAAGAGAAAAATAAGTCACTGTAAAACATATCAATCAAATCTTTGCATGAATTTAGGGAAACTGTAGAACTTAATTTCCATCTCATGTTGACCTTATCAAATATCTTAGAAGCATTGGAAAAAATGGCAGAACTTATAAAATATTGCCTTGCACTGAGGAAAACTGTAGAAATAACCAAATATCTCCATATAATGGAGAAAACTTCACAATGTTAATAAAAGTATATCTATGTATTGTGAAAATAGAATATTTTATAAATATTTCCATGCATTGAACAAAATAACAGAATTGATCAAATATTGCCATACACTGAAGAAAACTGTAGAAATTATCAAATATTTCCATGTAATGTGGAAAATAGAATATTTTGTAAAATATTTCAAAACAATGCAGGAAATTGTAGAACTAATTATGTCAATTTATTGAGGAAAAAACTCCAAATGTCTAAAACAGTTCAATATAGCGACAGATTGTTACTTTTAGTAGAAAAAACATATTTGTAATTAGATTTTTCATCAATTGAATGTATTTATATTGAAAACTCTGGTGGTGTAACTCTGGTTCAGACTTTAGACATTTTTATGAAAAGCGCAGTAACAATTTACATATTATCTCGAAACAAGGCTAGTAATGTAGACTTGATTATAATGATGACTATCACTAGACACTTAACAATGTAGAATAATCATGCAGTTTCATCAATTGTACATATATATAGTTGTTCTAAGAATGGATTATCTTGATGTATATATATATACACACACACACACATTACCTTATCTCTAGTTTCACTTTAGGTACGTTAACTATTGACTACTCTGTCACCAGTATTTAGATTGATTAGTTTACAACTTCAATTAGTTTGATGTGGTGTATTGTCCAGTCCTGTGTACTTTCACCAAACTATTCCTTAATTTGGTGCAAATTTATGAAGTTTACAAAAATAAAAAATTTACTTCTCTCAAACGTTGTGCTATTGTTTTTATAATGATACTTTCATTATCTTATGACATGCACCAAATCATAATTTTGTTCTATACAGGAAAATGTCTGATCTTTTAGCAGTTGGAACAGGTCATTAACCTCAATGGCTAAAGCAGGAACAAATCAAAACGATTTGTTAAGAGATACATGTACAAGCAACAGGAACACATTGTCATTAGAACATCAGTTTCACTGATAGGAGTTACTAAATACATAAAATTCTGAAATTGGAAACATCCATTTTCAGTTTATCTTCAGTGACGTGAGAAAAGATTCTTGACAGAATTGAATTTAAGTCCAGATGCATCAAGCTTAACAAGCTAAGGCCACAATCAGGAAGATTTCAACCCATCAGACAGCCCTCCACAACAGCTTAACATCATCAGTCTAGTTCTCATAGTTCTGTTGACGAAGTTGATAAATACATAAGCTAAGGACTGACAGTTCACCTGGGGAGGGTTGCCCATAGGAGTCAGGCATTCCTCTTCTATTTATGGAGAAAAAACTTAATTCTTCAGCTTCTAAGGGGCTAAGCCTCCAACAACCCCACTTGGGCTTCACCCTTGGCCCTTACCCCTTAAAACATTCTGGATCAGCACGTGCAGAGCAGCTTAAACAGATCAAAGATTCTAAATAAAATTCTAAATCTAATTAAATTGTAATGAAACTAAGAAAGCTTAAAAAAACCAGGGTAGACTTGGATTTTACCTGTAGAAGGACACTAAGGTAAACTAGAACCTCATTTATCAACTAACTCATTCACCCCTGTATTCATAATAAACTGTTCCAGCCTTTGAGTGGGAAGAGCTCAAATGTGACTTCAGGGGTGAATGAGTTAAAGGTAATCTAGAATACTTACCTTCAACACACTTACATTAACAGATTATATTACTTCTAAGAATATGGTCCCGGATATTCTGGACTGATGAGGCTGCCATATAAGGGAGGCTTTAAGATGCCAGGGTTTTCAAGTGTTATTAACTTTAAAATTAACTAAATTAAATACAGGTAAACATGATAATTCTATCATCATGAGTTGAGTGACTTTCATCATAAGTCAGGGAAGCCCTCTTTTTTGTATAATAGTTAATGATTTCAGTCTGATTCGAATCACCAAAAAACCTGACCTCACAAAATGTGTGGGCTATTTTAACACTTAATAGGACTTATTGTAACACACTGGTACTTATGTAGGAGTATATTGAAGACTCACCTGCTTTGGAAGGCTCAACAGGTGTGTAGCGATGGTTGAGATCAGTTTGTTCTTCGTCAACCTGTGAGAGCCCTGTGTTAGGTCTGTAACAGGAGGTAATATAAACAGTATTGAAATAGATAAAAGTCACTGATCTTATAGAAAGCTTGTTTCAGGAATCACACTTACCAGTAGTATGACATTACTGTTACCTTATCATGGCCATTAATTCCCATCTTAACAGGGCCATTAATTCGAAGATGACATTTTATTCCCCAGCTTTTACATAATACAAACAGGATAATTTAACTTATTCACCCCGAAAGACACCTTTGAACTTTTCCAATTCAAAGGTTGGAATAGTTTATTATGAAATTTTAGGGGTGAACGAGTTATGAACACCTACCTGGTGTATTTGAATAGGTGGTTAGAGTTATCTTTCTGTGTGGCCAGTATGTATAGTTTCCTTCCAAAGATATCCCGCTTGGAGACATAGAATCCATCCCGAGGTCCTTTGTGGGTCTCTAGTCTGGTCAATGCTGATGACCAGCTCACACCTCTGTCGACCTTCAGCTCCAGGAGTCTGAGAAAACATTTCAAAGTCAGAAAAATACCAGGACAAGCTGTGTAGTAAGTCCCATGACAAGGAGACAGTGACTAAAAAACATATGATGTCACATGACTAAAGGACGGTGTCCAAATGTCATATGACAAGTGGAGTGTGTAGCTAGTCACATGACAAAGGAGGCAGTGCATATATAACATATCACATGACTAAAGGACAGTGTGTAAAATGTCATATGACAGGAGGAATGTGCAGCATGTCACATGACAAAAGAAAAGCTTGTAACATTTTTGTAAAATTACCTAGAATTAGCTCTTTTCAATGTATGAGGGGCAGTAACTCTAACTACAGTATGAATTATTACTCAGGGGATTAGTTCTTTACTCGTTTATTAAAATAAAAATTTGAATCTCTGAAACTCCTTTATACTTGTATTGATACTAAAAATACTCCTGCTTTCAGAAATATCTTCATCAGAAGTAAAACATAAAACATTTATTTTTGTCCCAGCATCATAAAATTTGCGTTAAATAGATCTGGAATTAAATTTTCTGCAATTGCTTCACTTTTTCAAATTGTTCAGTCATTTACTTTTTGACATAAATTCATAGCTACTTTCCTCTTTCAGTTACACTTCAGACAATACAGTCAATGGCATCAATATCTGATTTTCAGAACTGGAAATGTCCTTAACTTATTCACCCCTAAAGACACTTTTGAACTCTTCCAATTCAAAGGTTGGAATAGTTCATTATGAAACTTCAGAGGTGATTGAGTTAAAAGTTAAGGCGTTTGTGATTCTGGGTCCTAATGATTTGAAACCTTACTTTGTGTCTGTATGTCCCTTGGTGAGGTTCTTAAACAGCTCCTTTGGTTTGTTGACCATCTCCACAGACGAAGCAGTGATGTCCAGCATCCCCTCGTTATACCTGAACAACAAGTTGTTTTATAAATCTCTATCAGATCAAACAAAGTGTACCTGGGGTGTTTTCAGTAAGGACAATGACAGTGGAACAGTTGTATAAAGTTTACCAAGCAAGTTTAATGCAAATATGGCAATTTCGTCAAATATTAACAACCAGAAACAACCAGCTAATGAGATTGAAGTGGCCTCTTAAAATCTGTACAAATTAGGCCGCTAAAGAGTTATTGAGCAAGGGATTTTACCAGATGTAATTCAACAAAATATGATGATTTCTTTAAAAGATACTATTTGAAAATAAATCTGTGTGCCATCTACACCAACAACAAAGCAATCTTTTCTGGCAACACATAAAAATCACAGGTCCTAACGGAATGACAAGCCATTCAGATTGATATGTCTCGTCTATGCCCAGCATTGACCACCAATGTACATATCAGAGAAACTAACTTAAGCTCAAACACTTAATGTTGATGGAGATGCTGACAAAGTCAATGGACCATGAAAGGTAACTCTTATCCTTTCATTGAAACTAAGTTAAACGCAAAAACTCAATGATGACGCTGCCGCCGCCGGCGGAAAAGCAACACCTTAGTTTCACTTCCACTTTGTGGCAGTGAGACAAAAATGAAAAATGCAACCTCTTTCAAGTACAGATTTTATTTAATTGTTATATAATCCAGTATTTTCTAACTTTCAACAGAATTAATAGAGCCACACTTCCCTGTCAAAATGTACCACAGGTTTATCTATTTGTTGGTTGACTAGTGTAACACTTACAAGAAACATTCCAAAATATTTTTCTGACTGAATACAGCCCTAGTGAAATATAGATTAAGGTCTTGCATACAGAGACAATCTTTCATCTACATGTTAAGATCTTAGTTAAGCTATTATATATCTTTTTGTTATGATTAAGAACTCTTGTAAATAATAATAATAATATACAACATTTGATATAGCGCTCTATCTAGCTAACATAAGCCACTCTAAAGCACTTTACAGTACATATATATACAATTAATACAATTAGCATATACATTAATCAATTCAATTAAATAAATAATTCAGAAAAAAATATATACTGTAAAACCTTGATAAAATGCCCCTTGTTGCATCTGCCATCTCGTTTATCCCCAACGTAATTCAACGTTCCTTTTTCTTGTTTTCTTTAGTTCCTTTATACATTTCCCTTAGTTTATCATCAGATCCCTTTAAAAGGCCAAAACTTCTATGGACAAATTGTGGCAGTATAGCGAGGTTTTACTGTATATGGAAGTCAAAAAGATGACTGGAGATCGAAGCAGCCCGAGAAAAGAGTATTAACGGGTAGAACATACCTCCCCTCTGTCTTGGCATTTTGTATGATCATCTTCATACACTCTATGAAGTAGTTGAATATCTGAAAATAACAACAGATCCATCTCATTCAAATTTCTGAAAATAAAGCACATTTATCAATGTGGACAATCAACATTTCCTTGAATGCACTGAATTTAATCTTAACACATAACAATATATCTGAAGAAATATTTGAAATATCAATGAATTTTATGCATTCTAGAATTTACAGCTGGAAACTCCTGAATATAAGACCTTTGAATAAATATGTAATGATAGAATATCATCAGTATTATGAAATTTCAAATAAGTATTTTTACATGACAGGTTTTGACTTTTGAGATGGTCCCTTACCACATTTTGCTTTGTTACACTCAGCCCCAGTATCCTATTAAGAAACTTTGAGACATCCCCCATGTCTTTCTCCTTGGGAGGCGCTCCAATCCTCACTGACTCTATCTCGATCAGTCCCATGAGAACCAAACACTCCTGTAACCAGGAATAATAATTATTCAAATCAGGAAAGTGTTGATATTCAGTAAAAAAAACAGTCGATAAAGTTACTTGTAATAATGTATCAATAGTTACACCAAATTATTAATTTATCAAATGAAATCAGACATGTATTTACAATCACAAAAAGTTGTGTATCCTTTCACTGTAAAAGATCTGTGACACTGTGAATCACTGAATCTTTACCTGCATTGACACATTGAACTCCTCGAAAGTCTTGTGGACTTTGGATATATCCGTCAGCTTCAAACCAGGCACCAGTTTCCTCTACAAATCGACAATCAATCAGAAATCAAAATAAACATTGTTTTACAATGCTGCAAGTTGTTGCACTATTGTTAACTGTACACAATATCTCACGTTGATATTAAATGTGTTAATTATATTGATACCTATAGAAGTATTAACTTAAACTACAGCGGCGGATCCAGAGGGTTTTTGGGGGCTTCAGACCCCCCCCCCCTCCCCCCGAGAATGTTTTTTAAAAATCATATATTTTTACAATTTTCCCCCACATGGACCCCGCCCAGGTAGGTCTCTGGATCTGCCACTGAACGAGTAACCTTTGTTGTGACACTGTATGTCTGTCAAAGAGATGTAGGGACCAGAATCTACAACTGGATGGACGACTTGTACATAGCCAGCACTTCACACTGGTGGACTAACCTGGCAGATGTTGTGGTACATCGTGCGGAGGGCGTTGCGGCCATATGGTGTTTCAAAGTTGAACTGGTCAAGATTAGCTCCAGTGGCTGCTCGCCTATCTCCCTTGGTCAGCGCACCTGTGACACGACACAATCAGAAATATTACCTTCCACTCAAACTCCCCCCCCCCCCCCCCCCCCCCGCCNTTCAGACACCTTTCATTTAGACATTGACCCAGAGTGAGGACAGGGATATGACGGACCCCTTATTTTAGTATTTAATGCAATTTATATATAAATACACAAAACCTGGAGTAGATGTACAAATCAATGAGTAAATATACATAACACAGATGTGTACGTATACTGTTAAACTTTCGCCCAGTCAAATATTTGCCTTTCACTGTAAAAAACAGGTGAAAACACTAACTATATACATTGTACGCTAATACACTAACTATATGTATATTGTATGCTAATACACTAACGATATACATTGTATGCCATTACACTAACTATATACAATATACGCTAATACACTAACTATGTACATTGTACACTAACTATATTCATTGTACGCTAATACACTAGCTATATACATTGTATGCCATTACACTAACTATATACATCGTACACTAACTATATACAATGAATGCTAATACACTAACTATCTACATTGTATGCTAATACACTAACTATATACATTGTATGCTAATACACTAACTATATATATATTGTATGCTAATACACTAACTATATACATTGTACACTAACTATATACATTGTACGCTAATACACTAACTATATACATTATACGCTAATACACTAACTATATACATTGTACACTAATACACTAACTATATACATTATACGCTAATACACTAACTATATACATTGTATGCTAATACACTAACTATATACATTGTACACTAATAGAAATACACTAACTATATACATTGTATGCTAATACACTAACTATATACATTGTATGCTGTGTACCTATATTTGCTGTCAAGATTAATTCACTCTAAAACCAGAAGTTAAATTGCAGTGAACATTTCCTGATATGCAGTACTAACAATATCCCTATAAGTTGTATAATATCCACTTTGATCCTGTTCGGGGAGTTGTGGAAGTTTCAGCCTCGCGATCACTTTGTAACTTTTAACTCCCACAAAGTTTAGTTTTTTTAAATAGACATTTAATGTAATTTCTGTTTTCAACAATTTATACAATTAAAATTCCTTTAACTATTTTTTTTTCAGATGTAGTCAATTTTAATGTATTTTATGCTTAATTATCATTTTTTTTCAAGATTCTGGTAAGTATGCAGACATACTCATGTATTCCCCATGTACCTCATTCTCCCTTACTCAAAGACAGCTGGATATGTTAGTATTAATTTATAGTGTAGACATATGATACACCTACCCATGGACTGGAGTCTGCGAGCTACAGCTGCTGCGAACCTCCTCTCTCCTCCAAGGTCAGTCGTCAGCAGTTTATACAGGGGACCACTGTCAACCAAAGTCAAGTTAATGCCAGATTCAAAACAAAAAATAACTTTTGCTTAACGTTATGCACTCATTCTATATTGCTTTAAAAACAGGATATAGAGATATTGTAATTTTGTTTTCAAGGTGACATTGTCACTCAATCTACGCACAGGTAGTGCATACTGTTTAATGTTCTCAAAATATCTAGACTGAACTTTTTTTTTTAAAGACAACTGATCTTTTGGCCAGGGAAGAATTAACATCTACAAGTCGCAATAAAATTAGATTTGCCTGCCCGAAATTATATCGACATTTGAACTGCTATGTTTTAGATGATATTCAAATACCTGGCAGCCTCAGAAAACAGTTCTCCAAGGCCCTTATTCATCGAACTGTTCTCATGCTCAAGCATGGATACTGTGCTCAAACCAGCATTCTTGTAACTTGCATAAATCATATGATACTGTCAAAAGGTCAAGTCTAGATATTGAAAACGGTTTTCAGCTGTAATATAAGTCTGTCCAAAATTCTTCCAAATCATGGAAAAAATATGAGTATAGATTTTTTTATCACTGGAACAAGAAACTGGGCTTGAGCACAAAATCTCGGGCTGCATTTGTTTATCGCAAACCAAAAGGTTGAACCAGTTGCACAAAAGTTGTTCGTTTATGAAATAAGGTCAGACCTATAAATCTGATGCTGCTTTCAGGCGAGCCTCGTCAAAGCCTTGCAAGGCTGGCATAAATATTTGCAGGTTCACCAGGATTTATATCCGAAAATGTCACATTTAAAAACAGACAAACCGGTTGAACCAGATACGTGAAAGGGGCCTCAGTTTTCAGCACAAGAACGATTTCATGAATACGGATCCAGGTCTTACCTATCACTTTAGAATGACAATTTTGCCTGCTACTAAATCAGCCATGAAACACTTGTATATTGTTACGTACTCACCTTGACTCGTTTGACCTGTGAGATCTGCCTAACTGTTGTATATTGTTACGTACTCACCTTGACCTGTGTGATATCTGCCTAACTGTTGTATAGTTACGTACTCACCTTGACCTGTGAGATCTGCCTAACTGTTGTATAGTTACGTACTCACCTTGACCTGTGAGATCTACCTAACTGTTGTACATTGTTACGTACTCACCTTGACCTGTGAGATCTGCCTAACTGTTGTACATTGTTACGTACTCACCTTGACTGGTTTGACCTGTGAGATCTGCCTAACTGTTGTATAGTTACGTACTCACCTTGACCTGTGAGATCTGCCTAACTGTTGTATAGTTACGTACTCACCTTGACCTGTGAGATCTGCCTAACTGTTGTGCATTGTTACGTACTCACCTCGACTGGTTTGACCTGTGAGATCTGCCTAACTGTTGTACAGCCTTGTCGGCACTCCAGGCGAGTTCCATAGTAAGGTGGACACGCCGTCTCTGGTTCCCTGCCCTGGTATCAGCATGGAGAGATATACCTACAAAGGGATATAATTGATTTTGATTGATATTCACTGCTAGTCTATGTACATTGAGCCAGAACAAGTTACCCAAAAACTGAAACCGATGATAATGAAATCTTGCATCAATAAAATTGTTGCCAAAAAAGAAAAAAATAATGTGAATTCTTTATTAAGTATGGACAGGCCTAGTTATTAAATTGTTGTTTTGGGCTAGTCTAGATCTTGGCAGTCTTTTCAGGTCTACATTTGTATTTGCAAGTCCGTCAAGTTTTACTTCTGATGTGTTACATTTAAAAATTGAACTATCCCGCTGTCTCCTACCTCATACTATACAATGCGGAAATGAAAGAACGTAAGTCTAAACCAAAAATTCTATTTCTTACCTGTGCTTGCTGCATCAGAGATTATTGCAACCAGCTTCTTTCCTGCCATGAACATGTTCCTCTGGAGGGGAAAAAGGAGTAGACAATGAAAACACATGAATAATCTAACAAGAATAAACTGTCAGATTGCATAAGCATTTTTTTTCTTTTTAACTTTGTCCAGTTTTAGGTATGAAAAGTTTTAAAGCTCACCTCTGTGACATTGAGACTCTCGACTCCTCCATAGTTGTCAATATCCACAGCACGTAGTTCATAGTGAGGCTGGTCTTTTTCTGACCTACGGACAATTCTGCCACGCCTCCCAGTCAACTCGGCCACAGCTCCAGTCCCACCAAGCTGGTCAATCATTTCATCCAGGGGACTGCGACACAAACATATTCGTCGTAAAAATACATAGGTGTTGAAATTCTCAAATACCATACACATGCATCAATGTCACCTTTTTTATCTATTAATACCTACTCTGAAGAAGTGTGAGAATGTAATTCTATATTTAGTAAGTGACCTTGACCTTTGGTGATGCCCATAATTGAACCTGTCAAAGATATGCCCAAGGTAAGGTAAAGAAATATGTCCCCTAAAGTGATGAAAATGGGTACTGAGCACATTTGTCAGGCTCTTAACTCAAGACATTTATCTGAAAATACATTCAAACTTTTGATTTCCAGTTTGCCACACCATAGGTAATAGTTGGTTTACCATGAATGCTTTGTAGAAATGGCTTCTTCATGGCTTGTTAGTTACACAGATACACAGATTTTATTCTGACTGTAGGACTTACACAAATCCTCTGCTGTCAGCTCAATATGGTTTGAACAAATTCTGACAAGAGCATGGACATTTGAATAACATTAATCATTAATAGTTGAGGTAAAAAAAGTAAATTATACATAAAATACATTAGTTGTCAGTGCAGAAACAAGCTGATAAGAACACAAGCCACACAGAATCACAGTCAATAGCAATGTCTTTATTTGTTTCTTATAACTACCTGTTTGGCAATGAGATTTTGCGAGCGAAGTCTAGGAGCATCGTCTTAGCTTGAACACTCCAGCTGTCTGGCACGCTATCTTCTGGGTTCTATCAAAATATGTGTACTTGTAACATAGTACTAGACAATATGTACACCAAGTAACACAAACTTCAAAATACTCTAGCTTTTTTACTTTATACATACCGTATACCAGTAAATTTTCGACCCGTCACACTTTCGCATTTCGACAATGAAACCATTTAATTACTATGTATTTCATGTTGATTACTTATGTTTGCTGTAATGATAAATTTGCCTTGATCACAGAGGATGAAGAAGGCGAAAAGTTTACTGCAGCGAATTTTTTTCGATACACAGTTCATCATCAATATGGCTTGTTCAAAAGAAAATTGTACTAATTCTTATACTATCAACTAGTTATTTAAAGCAGATGAAATTACTGTTTGAAACCATGGAAACTGTATTCAAAACAGGAATGGTAGGACGACAACTCACCTGACTCTCAATCATGGTGGGAAAAAACTGTGTGATGAATCGCAACAAAATCTCTCGACACAGGGAAACAAAGCCAGTTATCTCCCCTTTGTTCTTCCCTATTTCTGCTTCTAAAGAGGCCTAGAAAAAAATAATTATCTTAATTAGAGAATACATTCCCATCTTCCTTCTTATTTCCTGTAAATCTTTCTTAAAGTTTTTGAATATTGATCCAAATAGATTTCAACATTTTAACTTAACATTACTGTCCCTTTCATCTTTAACTCATTCACCCCTGAAATTTCATAATGAGCTATTCCAACATTTGAATTGGAGGAGTTCAAATGTGTCTGCAGAGGTGAATGAGTTAAATAAACCTTAAACCTTACCTCTCCTGTTGTTTGCAGACCAATGACTGCACAGTAGCCAGCTTCAAGTGCCTCCTTTGCCTCCTTTATCACAGATGGTAGCTTCATACCTATACTGAAAATAGATGTCGATAACATAAGATGATACATTCATACCTGTATATACTGAAAATAGATGTGGATAACATAAGATGATACATTCATACCAGCGCATACTGAAGATCAATGTGTATAACATTAGATAGCACTTTTAAACCCATACTTCGGTAACATCATATGGAATCTTCACATAAGGGCATTCTATAGCTCTCCGACAACAATCAGGAATCATGTGCTTAATTTCAGCCACATTTCTTTTATTGCTATATTTATAATTGATAATATTGCAAATGCTTCCCACAAATTGTAGTAGTCTTTTGATTTATACTTAGAGCTAAACAGTTTCTTCCATCTTACCAGAGTTGTTTGAAGAATCTCTGATGAGATGCCCAGAACTGAGCCCACATCCGTCCGCCGGAAAATCCTGTTCTGGTTATCGCACTTTCCAATGCCTTGCGCAGCTCATTCCTGTGGAAAATAGTTAAAATTAAATCTTTATTCTTAAACACATGAAGACAAAATCTGTAGAGATATTGGAAAGTGATGAATGCATAATTCAATTTCAACAATATTTTGATCTGAATGTAACGAGCATAATATATAGGACAAATCAAAAGTGAGTCAATAATTGGTCACCAGCTTTTAAAACTTGTTATAACCTCGACCTTTCGGTAGGGACAGGAGTGTTATTAGATATGCAGTCTGGTCATTGTGTGGACATCTCTATGGTCCGGAAAAGTTTGAACTCTGACCCTCACCATGGTTTTGATCTTTGGGTTAGGATTTCATGTTTGTTATAGATTTGGTAGGGGTGTCACAATACGCCAAGAGTGTATCACGACGTATTGCAATACAGAATGAATATATTGCAATACGTATCCCGATATATTGTCATAATAATTTTATAATAAGTTGTTGTCAGAATGTTATCAAACATAATCATATATAATATGGATCACATAGATTGAAGATTTTTGTCAAACCAACCATTGATTACAAAGTTTTAACTATTAAAAGCCTGTTTTATGCTTATTGGCATATCGGTTAAATTTGTAGTAATTTGCAAAGTTAAGACACCAAGCAGATACATAGAAATATGCTTTGTACTGTGGTACGATACGATATACCTGTGTATAGCGATATACCTGTTTTCCGATATATTGTGACAGCCCAAAGATTTGGGGCCTGTTCGTTAACTTTACTTAGAACAACCGGTTGGTCTGTTTTTAAATGTAACATTTTCAGGTATAAATCTTGGCAGACCTGCAACAGACCCAAGAATGTTATGTCGCATGTCCTATCAGGACACACATACATGTAAAGATGAAAATGATGGGCCATGCAGAAAATGTGTTCACATATGCACAAAAGTACAGATGGACGAGTAAACACACTGACCAATTAACACTACCCCCTTACACATACCAAACATGGGCAGCGGTATCGTACATCTTTCTCTGATCCTTTGTCAGTGGTGCTTCTACTGTCATGAACTGGAAAACAAATGAAATGGTAAAAATAATAGTATACATTCCTAGATTTTCTATCTACTCGAAATCACTAATTACTAACACATCAGTTTCATGTGTGTAATACAGATTTTTGTTCATACTGTAAAAGCGTAATAATTTGTTGAGGATTTAATTTCGTTTATTTCGTGGTTTTATAAAAACACAAAATATTATCCCAAATTATTTTTGAATAGCTGCATCCTTGGAACTAGCCCTTTTTGGTGAAGGAAGTCCCGGAATAGATGTCTCACGTTCTTTGGGTGATTGTAACCATTTCAGAAGAGACATGTTTCTCATCCGCTACAATACTCAAGGAGTGAGTAAATCGTGCCCAATCTTACCTGTACTATGTTAATACCTGCACTGTATCGTCGGGCCTGTCAATTTAAACTTCTTACTTACCAGAATAAAATACAGGGTTTTAAGATATTGATTCCACGAAATATAATCCCAACGAATTTGCCCCTATACGAAAACAAAGAAATTCAACCCCAACCTAAATATGCTTTTACAGTACTCAAGATGTTATTTTCTTAAAATTCATACAATATATGTATGCATTTGGAAGTTACAAATTTCAACATCAATAAATATGTTTATTAGTAAAATAATATAAAATTATTAGGAAATTGATTTACAATTAAAGTTATAATTTCATTATTTTTTAAAGTCCAACTTTCAGATCAGACTTATTTTCAGATTTTTTCTCTTTTGGTGAATGAAGTAGCTTACGAGCAAAAAAAAATGTTCTGATTACCTCGGCCTGTTTGTAGCTGAGACCACGGGAGATGTACATTCCTGAAGTCTTCATCTCCATAGCAAGGATCTCCGCCATACCAAGCCCCTTCTTCTGTACAAGGTCGAGAAACTGCTCAAATGATTTGAAAGGTGCCCCCTCTCCCCATAGACCCAGTCTCTCCATAAAGGCCTGTAAATCAGTGTTACATGTAGAAATTATAATATAACCTTATTTATTATACATCAATTATGAAACAAGTTATTTCAACTTATATTAATCACTCTTGTTGGCCCGGTCGTAGCGTGTGGGGGGTCTTAGTGTGGGAGGAAACCGGAGTACCTGGAGAAAACCCACGTGGTCAGGCAGGTGACCCCAACCTTTTCACGTCCGATCCGGGAATCTAACCCCGGCTGCCTTGGTGAAAGGCAAGTGCGCTATCCACTGCACCATCTGACCACCCTTCATGTAGAAAGCAATGCACTCACAAATTTTCAGGAGTTATGCTCATTTATATTCTCTGACCTTCTGTCGTCTGACACTGATGGACAATTTCCTGAAATTTTTAACAGCTAAAAACCTTTAGAGTGTTATCAATTCTTTGAAAGTTTGTAGCCATTATTTCGGGTACCGAACATTACATAGACATTCCGATGTAGTCACTTAACAAAAATATCTTTAATAACAGGTACAATATTAATGTTCATCAAGAGAGTGAGAAACTGCTTAATGAATCATTTGAAATCATCCTAAGGTGTTGTTTTTTTTAAATGTTCATATATACCATGTTTTTGACATCAGTAACTCCAGTCGCACTGCAGTAAACAACACGAGCTTTAGGTAACATCCTGAAAATAAATTTCATGAAATTCTATATTCAACTTTAATAACACAACAACAATTTGCAATTTTTTTCTTATTCATGATCCAAAAATATCAATTCCGCCTTCCACACACTTCCACAGTACAATTAATGGACTTCCACACAGACATGGTTTAATATTAAATAACACAATGGCATAATTTTCAGAAATGACTATATTAGAGCTCTTTTGGGCCATTTCATCAGTTTGGAAACATACGTACGGGCGGAATCCTATATCCCCTCAAACGTTCACTGCGAGTGGATAATAACTGATACATCAACATTAAAGGAATGTAACTGGTAAGATTCCCTCACTCCTGTACAGAAATTACCATCATTATCACTTCGGTACTGGTACAAACATTTATCTATGAGATATAACAGGTTATGTTTCCCTCATCTCTGTACTGGTACAAACATTTATCTAAGAGATAAAACAGGTTATGTTTCCCTCACCTCTGTATTGACGTAACAGCNGATATAACAGATTATGTTTCCCTCACCTCTGTACTGGTACAAACATTTATCTAAGAGATATAACAGGTTATGTTTCCCTCACCTCTGTATTGACGTAACAGCCATTGCTACTTTGGTACTGGCCTGCTCTTTGCCCTACAAAACAGAGTAAAACATCCTTCAGATATTTCCTTCAAAATATAATACCAGTAATTCATATTTTTCTTCAGCATTTAAACAGAGAACAAGTTCCTTTTGCACTGGACAAAATGATAATCAGAGTTCCTGGGAAAGAATTGTTTGCCCCGAAAACAAGCCATTTGGATTGATATGTCTCACCTATGCCCCGCTTTGACTATCAATGCACATATCAGAGAAACTAACTTAAATGCATAAACTTTGGTGTTGATGGAGATGCTGACAAAGTCAATGGGCCATGAAAGGTAGGCCGCATCCAGCATTTGATGCATGGGTGGAGATGTGCTACCTAAGATGCATCTTTGGTCCAAGTTTGGTTGGTCTACCACTTATACTTACAGTGAAACTAACTTAAACGCAAAAACTTAATGTTGATGGAGATGCTGACAAAGTTTAATGGACCATAAAAGGTGGGCCCCATCCAGCATTTGATGCATGGGTTGCGATGTACTACTTAAGATGCATCTTTGGTTCAAGTTTGGTTGGTTTAGCACTTACACTTTCAGAGAAACTAACTTAAACGCAAAAACTTGATGTTGACGCCGTCGCCGGAAAAGCAACACCTAAGTCTCGCTTCCACTTCATGGAGGCGAGACAAAAATACAAGTCTATAACATTATATACTATATATTGCATACATATACCTCAATTGTTCAAGGACTTTGAAGGCATATGGCTAAATTGAAGGTTTTTTAAAGCATGTATGCACCCTGTTGCTATGGCCCCTTTGGCATATCATGTTTGACCCGTTTGTCTATTTATAAATGTATCAATTTCAGGTATAAATCCTGGCGGACCTGCAAATGTTTATGCAGGCCTTACTGATACAAGGCTTTGTCAAGGTTCGTCTGAAAGCAGCATCAGATTACTAGATCCTTACTTCATAAACAAACAACTCAGGTCCAACTGGTTCAACCGTTTGGATTGCAATAAACGAATGCGGCCTAACACACACAACCATCAGACTTACCGGAACAAAATTCTTTGCTTTGTGACATTCATCAAACACGAGACAGCCTTGGAACTCGGGCCCCCCACACCAGTCAACCAACTGTTGTAGTCGGCTAGTCTTACTGACACTGACTGCACCTGGGGATTAAATGTGGTCACATAATCAACACCTTCAACATAACAAACACCATGCTAGTAAAACAGTATTGAGCTGTTATCTGGGCCTCCTGGTTATTCAGAAGGTGTTTAAAGGTTTTTACATATGTGACCCCTGTGACCTTGAAAGAAGGTCAAGGTCATTTATTTGATGACACTATCTATCACTCTGTCTCGGGTACCTACTGGCCAAATATTATTGCTTTAGGCGTCTTTGTTATTCTTCAGAAGTTGTTTTAAGGCTTTTTACACATTTAACCCTTGCAACCTTGAAAGTAGTTCAGGGTAATTTATTTGAGGACAGTTTATAGCATTCTGTCCCACTCTGGGCCTCCTGTTTATTCTGATGAAGTTGTCAAAATGTTTTTAACACTTTTTACCCTTGTGACATTGAAAGTAGGTAAAGGTAATTTATTTAAGGAACCTTTTTAGCACTTTATCACAGTTACATACTGGCCAAATATCATGGCTCTAGGCCTCTTGGTTATTCAGATGAAGTTGTTTAAAGGTTTTTAACACTTTTCACCCTTGTAGGTCAAGGTCATTTATGTGAGGAAACTTCATAGCACACTTTCCCAGGTACCTATTGGCCAAGTATCAGTGCTCTGGGCTTCCTGATTATTAAGAAGATGTTCAAATGTTTTTATATATCTAACCCCTGTGACCTTTAAAGTATGTCAAGGTCACTTATTTGAGGAAAGGTTATAGCACTCTGTCCCAGGTACCTATAGCTACTGGCCACATAGCATGGCCCTAGGTCCTCCAGTTCTGAAGAAGAAGTTGTTCAAAGAAAAAGTTGACGGACGACAGACAACACACCATACCAAAGAAATTGCAGTGCAATTGGACAAGGATACTTAAGTTACATACTTCCTCTAGAAACAGATGATACCAGTGTGGCGTAGGTACTGAACACTATCCCCTCCTTGAAGTCTGCAGGCAAACCCAAAACTCTGCAAAAAAAAAGAATAACAGGTACATACATGATTTCAGTATAAAAGAGACTATTTTGATGATACATGCAGTTATTTTGAGAACAAAACGCTCAGACACATATCTTGCTCCGACACTACATATTTGTGTGATCTCTTAATGTTTGTTTGGTTTTACGTCCGCTACACTACCCAGTTGTTCGGTTAGCCAGCAGACAAGGTGTTATCTCAAACCTAAATGACTTAAATATCTGGCTCCAAATAATGAAATTCTAGACTGCAAGGATATTTTGTATCGTGATACTTTCTGATCACAATACACTTACGGTACTGAAATTGTCAATTTTTGATTTATTTAACTCTAAGACCTCACTAATTGTTTTGGATTCTTTCAGTAAAGGTGTGTGTAAGAATCAAACAAAAATGTATTTTGACAGCATTTACTGTATATATATAATTAATAATAATAATAATAATAATAATAATTGGAGGTTCTTATATACCGCTTTATCACAACCTAGTTCGTAGGTCGTCTCAAAGCGGTTCACAAATTATTATCTGTGGTTATAGGGCCTTTGCAACCAGCCAATACATTTCTCAACTCCCTGGGGAGCATACAGCCGGAGCTGCCATTTCGGCGCTAACAACTAGCATTCAACAATTCTAGCACTGCCCAACCACATACTCATTTACAGCTGAGTAGACTGGAACAAGTGGAGTAAAGTATCTTGCTCAAAGATACAACACATTGCGTAAGTCTTTGACAAAACTGTAAAATCCTGGGCTCAATCATTATGAAGTTGACCTTTTGAGCGAATATATGTGTATCGTGATAATCATAAGCATCATACCGTGCTACGTATTGTACGGTGAGGTATGTGTATTGTTGTAACAATGTTGTTATGGTTACCTGGTTTGCCGGTCGAGTTCCTGACAGCCGTCAATCACTTTCACGTAACATCCAATGTCTGTAAGGTCTCTGGAGACAAGATGTTGTTACAAATTATTAAATAAAAGCTTTCTTTTATTCATTTACAAAATTATTACATTTACTTTTTCAAAATTTAAGATAATTTCCAAGATATTGTTCTTCCCAAATCAGAAGTTTCAAATGTATCTTTTATTTCCTGAGGTTTTCGTCCACTTCTAAATGTATCACATGGGGACACTGCAGGTTGAATGATAATTTTGTGGATTACCTCCTGGAGTCGACGATAAGGTCCGACGATATTGTAAACCAGATATGTTTGGTCCTCTTTCTGGCATAGTTGTCGAGGATGATGCCTGCTATCTGTAAAACACAATGTCAATCTAATACCTACTTGTTTTTTAAAAGAAAGAAATCATTTAACATTTGTCTTGTACTTTTACTTTGAATATTAGCACATTTATTATCCATACCTTGTTAAAAATATTCCATAGAAAGATCAAAGTTTTAACTAGCTGATCAAGTTTTTTTTACATATACTTGTATTTTGCTGTTTGTGTGAATCAATGTTAAATGATTCCGAAAGATTAACTTTTTCATAATCTTGTCTTTATCCTCACGATGTCAGTTACTGAAGATCAGTCATCAGTCTGCCAAAACTTTCATCAGTCAGCCAAAACTTTCACCAGTCAGCCAAATATTTCATCAGTCAGCCAAAACTTAGGTTGCTTTTAACTCATTCATCCTTACATAACTGAGCTGGACTTGGCCAGTCATTAATTTGGTAAGTTTCAAATGTGACTTTAGGGGTGAAAGAATGTTTTTGTTACCTAAAGTCACTTAAGGCTGTTCCTTTATGAATTGGGAAAATAGAAAATTATTTGTATTGAAATTGGGAATATATTCCCTAGTTTTTGGTCATTTTGGGGAAAAAAGACACTTTTTAGCTAGGGGAAACAGCCTGTATTCGGCAGTAGAACTGAGAAAAAAAATCACTTTTAAGTGACATATTATTTACCTGTCTACCTTTGCCAACACCAGCAGCATCCCCAATGAAGAATCCTGCACGCTGACCATTAGGTAACAGAGTCTGGTGTCTCTGGCACTGTAATCAGATTGTGTTGTAAGTCGTAATCATACCTGTACACTTTTTAACACATTTAATCCAATCAAATGCCCACTAGTACATGTATACCGAATAAAAAACCTAAGAACATAAAATCTTTAAAACACATTACGCAGAATGGAGCACTACTTTCTACTGCAAAATTCTCTTTAAAAATATAAATCAACTTAATTTGGCCTTTTTGAAAGTAAGTCCTAAATATGTAGGGAATAACACTGATATGTTATAGGAATAAAAGACCGCATATAGGACACGTACCCTCAAGCCTGATACCAATAATGCAACTCAAGTAAAATTCCCTCAAGCTGGAGACCAATATATATTTCAGTAAAGAACAGGTATTGGGACTTACAGCATACAGAATACCCTCGAGCTGAAGACTGCTAAGTTTGCAGGAGGTGATCATCTCTTCAGGGAGGCTGTCTGCCAAGGGGTATACAGGCTCTGGCGGCAACAGGGACTGTAATTATATAACAATCATCTCAGGACAGGCTTGTCTTACAATCAGCTCATATCATTTATTAAAAGAAACAAAACAAAAATGAAAGGACTTAAACTTTTTGGATTCTGATAAATGATTATTTGATTGCTTAAAAAAGGAAGTGATACCTACGCATATTGTTTTACAATAGCACAGTGATGCCATATTGACAGTCAGCTATAATATCACAGAAAATACTGAATTCTGACTAAAATAGCTTACCTATCTGATGATACATTGTATATACTTACAGCGAGAGGACCTGCCTCCACAATATCCCCAGGATGAGGTTGACAACCAGGTATAATCTCTCTATACTTGTACACAGAAAATACTTCCGCACTACAATGCAACAGGATATAACAGGATTGATCAGCTGATCTTTTAACAAGATCATATATTACCTTTAGAATACTATTTAAACAAGTGCAGATTTGTTCCCATATTGACAGAAATACATTCCTTCAATAAGCTATTTTTCATTGGGGTTATAAAATTCTTTAATATCCCAAAAAAAAATAAAGTTAGGCAAGTGAATATGCAGATTATAGTGTTTGCAAGAAAGATTAACAGCAATTATTAACAACTTAAAGGAACTTTTCAAATACAGAAAAAGATTTTGTTTGTCATTATTTAATTAATTTGAAGCCTACTGACAAATTATTCATCATATTAAATTAGTAACGACCCTTCATGTTTTCTGGCAAAATAAGCTGCACTCTGGCACGACAGGTTTATAGTCCAAACAACAAAAATCACTTGTGCTTCTGCTATATATAATCCTCAGAAAAAAATAGGGTAGGTATATGGAGACAATTTTTTTTATTTTGAAAAATATTTTTACTATGCATATATATAGAGCAGGAGATCTGAGGAGATTGACTTTAACAGTGCATATCACTAAATGCTATTTGAGGGTCGGCACAAAAATCTAGGGTAGTTGGGGTTAGCGGAAACATTTTTTTTTAATTTGGCCTTAGTAAGATTTTTTATACATATACCTAACACTTTCTTGTACACCATCGTCTTTGATTTCGTCCTGATCAGCTGGCTGCTGCCCCCTCATCTGCAGACTTCCTTGTGTAATGCTAGGAGGGGCTGGCGGGGCATATAGCTGGTTCATAGTATCAATCTGCTGGAGTATAGGGTGCACTGACGATTGCAACTGCCCCGTGAGGTAGGAGGACCCTTGAGTGGAGCCGCCTTGGGATGAGGCCCCCGGGATTGGTCCATTGTAAGGTGAGGACATCTGAGAGAGAGGACCATATCCTGCCTGGGCGGACATAGACATGGGATTCACTGGTGGTGGTGTTCTATATAACATGGGATTCACAGAGGTAAGTGGCGGTGTGGTGTACATCATGGGACTTGCAGAGGTTAGTGGCGGTGTCCCGTACATCACGTAAAAGTTTCTGTTAAGTGTCTGTAGTTCATCATACTACCTACTAACAAAGATGGATAAGTAACGTTGGCAATAAGTATGAATTTCCAACATTGGCTTTAGTTTCCGATTCCAAAGGCAATCTGAAAAGAAAATATGCAATAATATTATATAAAGTAAAGCAACAAACATCAGCCTGCAATTCATTGAATCAGCCATGCATGGCCATGCTATGACAGTCAGGAGAAACTATTTAACATTTTGTACAGTCAAAACCAGGAACAATCTCCCACAGGACGCTGTATCCGCTCCAAATATTAATCCTTTTAGGAACATAATAGATAAACTTTGGCAGAATAAAGAACTTTATTATAATTATAGGCAAATTTACTAACAAAGAAATTTACCTTTATGCAATTGTTCAATTTTGGGTCCAGTGTAGAGGAGCTTTATTGGCTCCTGTATTGGAAACAAACTTAACTTTAAGTGAAAATATACTTAAAATTTCGCCCTAAAACTAGTTTAAGAGTGCAACAACCCGGGCCGAAATGGATTTTGGGCGAAATAACCGCGACATTAATTGTTGGTGGGTATTAGTAAGTACCTAGCTAGCTATATAGGCATACCATAATACAACCCATGAACAACAGTATTTATACAAATCAAAAGAAATAGAAAGTTACCAGAAATCAAAACTATGGACAGTAATTGTGTAGCTTGTCGACGATCAATGTTGCAACTCAGCGACTTTACAAGTCATATTCCTATTCCATTTGTATTCACTATTGATAACTGACATTGGTTTTTCAAAGAAATGACTAAACAGTTATTTCCAAATCAAAATCAATTCAGTTATTCGTGAAACATTAAAGATTACGGAGATAAATTAAAAAATATTGGTAACACATACATAACAACCTTTTCTCCCGCCATCTAATCGGAAGTAGATACATTAGTACCTCATTTTTAGAGAGTTCCAATAATAAAAGGTAAACTCTTACTTTGTTTATAAACTGCAATTTCAACATCACTCAGTAGTTACAGATATCATTGATGCCATATGCGACTGGCATATGTTTATAGAGGAAGCATAACGTATTACATTACATTTCGCAACACAATTTATGTGAGGAATCTGCTGCACCGGCTGCTTCAATCCTGGACACAGGTGCCCAACACAGGTGCTCGGGTTGCTGAACGGCCAACAGGCTCACGCAACTACTATATTACTATAGATCGTGTTAGACTTTCAGTCACTTATTGGAATATAACGTGCCCAGCGACTGAAAGTCTAGCAAAATCAATATTAATAGTAGTTGTGTGCCCCTGTGGACGGCTCGTTCCACACTGCTATGATGTGTATTAATTTAATAATTAACTATCTATTATAATACATTCTGGACACACTGTTATACCTATGATGTCATATACTATTTGGTGATTTGCTGATGTGGCATCGATGAAAGCTAGTTCAAGCTTGTGGTGATGCATCATTGTTATTTCATTCACTTGCGAATTACTTTTCCGGTTGCGCTCTTATTATTTCATTAATCATAGTAGTGTAGCAATGTCTATAGTAATAATATGATTTCAATTTTAAAAACTTTACTTTAATACTAAGTATTATATGCACATTATATTACTATCATATCAGTGCACTTTCAGTTGCTGTGTAAGTTATATTGAGATATAACTTACTACACAACTGAAAGTCTAACAAGATAAATATTAATAGTAGTTGCATGCCCCTGCACAGTGATCAGTGTGTCCAGCGCCAGTAGGTTTATTGCTATTGTCTGACCTGGGGCCTATAAGGGTAATGACAGTAGCTGATCACTATACCGTACAAAAAAAAAATAGTGTTTCAGGTAAACTGACCTACAATAGATTTTACTGTTGACCCAGATATTTGATCACCTACTTGTATCTAAGATTAATTCATTACCTAGGCAAAGTTCACAGCCTCCCATTAAAATGTACTTTTTTCCTGTTCTGTGAATCTGACCTTATATATATATATTCTTGACAATTAAATTAATAGTCAATTTAATGTAATTTAATGGAAATGTATTGTAAAATTTGAAATAAAGCATACCCGGTAATATAATTCACGAAAATAAAAAATTAACTTTAAAATAATGTTATTTTCCTACAACCATCCTTTTTTTCAAGGCATGTTACCTGAAACAAACATATTTTTTGGCCGTTGCCAAACCATTATATCACAGAGGTGCACATACTGTTGTCTATATTAACTTATTCCTGTGATCAACTTATGCGTATATACTTACGTTCAGTTAATTAGTCGATCTGTCACAGGGGTTAGTTATACATGCCTATAGACATATGTAACTAATGTATGTTTATGCTTATCACACGCCACACGATGATGTCATATCCATATTATTCTACAGGAATATTCTATTTCATTGTTATTATTGTATAAATGTTGTAATAATATGAGCCGCAAGGCTTAAAGCTAATTATAAACAATACATTACAATACAATGCCATGTGATCACAGGTATCTACATTGAATGAAAGGCATACTTGCCAATTAACTCTCCCTATTTTGAAGGCTGGGGAGTCTCCCGATTTTGGACCCTAAAATTGAGCGGTTTCTCAACCAGTTCACTCATAATTCCTATTTTCAAAGGTCTGATGATTTCATCTGAGAAAGTGCTAATTTTTTTCTCTAATAAATTTGAGTATATACACATTTGATTAATGCTTTTAATTCTGAGCATGAGCAATCCTTCCCCCCCCCCCTCCCTCCCCCTTACCTAATATTTCAAAAAGTTGGCAAGTATATAAAGTAGGATCTACACAATATATGTATGCCTCATCTTTATAACAGCGTGTCTCATTTTATGTTACCCCTCACATGAAGGGCTAATACAATATCATGTCAACCTCACTGCTCAAGGTTCCCCAATCATATTTCCCTTATTTGGAGCCTCTCTAGTACAATTGGCAAGATTAAAGAGCCACCACAACCTACTTCCTTTATCATTGATTTTTTAAGATCAATTTTGGGCCATACAGAGGTACTTGATCAAATCAATGCAAAGATTACTTTTATGCTTTTTGAGGATAATATTTTCCAAAATCAACAGGCATATATAGGCCCCTGGGGAAAAGAAGTAGAAAAGTCCCTGCATATTGTTGGCTGAAATTATGACATTTTATACAATAACTATTCCAAAAGAGGTTATTGATCAGTTTTAAAACATTGTCCAAAGGTTTTCCCTTCTGACTTTTAAAATTTGGTAGATTGACAAGTACTGTATGTGCATGTTCAGTAGTTGCAGGTCTGTGTACCATATGCATGCATGCCCTGGTAGGTTGCATATGTAGCAGAACTGGACCTTGGCTGGGCTGTTGCAATTCACTTTCTCCTGTTAGGAATTGTCAATTTTGTTGGTTGTCAGAGATTGTAGTCAGACTTAGCAGACAGTCCAGATACGAGGGTTCAATCTGTTTTAATTGATTGTGGACTTGGAAGATATAAATATAATTGTTAAATTTCAAAATGAACTAGGTATGCGTGCCAGATTAAAATTTTATTTAACCAAATGAATGTAAGATTATTTTATTTATTTTTTCATTCATTTATTCATTCCTTTTCTTTTGTAGACATGATGGATATATGTGTTGTTGCTGTGAGGATTACCTGAAATGAAGTGACGTCCATGTTGAAATCCTACCATGAAAACCTGGCATGTCTCTCCATTTCTAAGATCTAGATTCGGCAAAACAATTCTGCTGTCGCTATGCGTCCTTGTATTTGTTGTCTTTACGAACCTGTTTTACGGGTTTAGCGTACTAACGAAAACCTCTCCCATGACATTAACGTCTAGTGTTAACTACTTCAGGATGCTTCAGCACATGCCTAAAAAATTAATTAGAAAATCTGGAAGCACGACAGAACAAATATGTCGTCATCCAAGACTATCCCTTTTCCAAGACTCCATACAGAGTGCTTTTCACCCCATGGATCCATTAGTGTGTTTAGCGAAAAATCTGTTTTACTTTGAGAAAGGCGTTCTTCGTATGAACGACACCGTTTTAAATCCATTTGATCAGTATAACCGTCATGAATTTGGAGAAGCAAAAACAAATCTTTCAGAGGATGAAACAAAAATAATCAGGAAGTGTCTTTACAGAGGAATAGAGAGGGTTACAGACGACTATCATACATTCACAGAAACAATCGTCAAAGAAAAGCCGCCATTCAGTTTGCTTGTAGAGCATGACTTTATGTCGGTGAAATGTTTTTATCATCATCCAGAAGATGACGAAAAGGAACCAGAAGAAAAGGAACCAGATTCGGATGAGAAAAATAAATTGGATGAAAAGGACCAGTCCGGTGTGGCAGATGAGGAAAAGAATTTCGGACCCATAAATTTTGATGAAATGAACCGTGAAAGTTTCCGTGATGTTGATGAAACATTAAACGAGCATGGGAGAGATGCTTTGTTTGGCAGCGAATATGATCACAGCTTTGATGGAAATTTTTCGTATGATTATTTACATTCATGGCATGATTATCACACTGACTTTGAGGAACAGGACATTGCTGATTTTGATCAATTTTTAGTACAGGTGCACCCAAAGCCGAGTGTCTTTCAAAGGATTAAGGACAGCGTAAAGAATAAACATGCAACACATTTGAATGTCCTCATGCTTGGTTTGGATTCAATGTCACACCTGTCATACCAACGAAAGCTGCCAAACACTTACCGCTACCTCAGAGATGAACTGGACATGGTGATTCTAGATGCTTATAACATTGTAGGAGATGCTACTACAGCCGCCTTGATACCCATACTAACAGGTAAGTTTACACCTGTCCTGATACCAATACTGACAGGTAAGTTTACACCTGTCCTGATACCCATATTGACTGGTAAGTAAACACCTGTCCTGATACCCATACTGACTGGTAAGTAAACACCTGTCCTGATACCAATACTAACAGGTAAGTTTACACCTGTCCTGATACCCATACTGACAGGTAAGTTTACACCTGTCCTGATACCCATACTGACAGGTAAGTTTACACCTGTCCTGATACCCATATTGACTGGTAAGTAAACACCTGTCCTGATACCAATACTGACAGGTAAGTAAACACCTGTCCTGATACTCATACTGACAGTTAAGTTTACACCTGTCCTGATACCCATACTGACAGGTAAGTTTATACCTGTCCTGATACCCATACTAACAGGTAAGTTTATACCTGTTCTGATACCCATACTGTCAGGTAAGTTTACACCTGTCACGATACCAATACTGACAGGTAAGTTAACACCTGTCCTGATACCCCATACTAACAGGTAAGTTTACTCCTGTCCTGATACCCATACTGTCAGGTAAGTAAACACCTGTCCTGATACCAATACTGACTGGTAAGTAAACACCTGTCCTGATACTCATACTGTCAGGTAAGTTTACACCTGTCCTGATACCAATACTAACAGGTAAGTTTACACCTGTCCTGATACCCCATACTAACATGTAAGTTTACACCTGTCCAGATACCCATCCTGACTGGTAAGTTAACAACTGTCCTGATACCAATACTGACAGGTAAGTTTACACCTGCCCTGATACCAATACTGACAGGTAAGTTTACACCTGTCCTGATGCCTATACTGTCAGGTAAGTTTACACCTGTCCTGATACCTATACTGACAGGTAAGTTTACACCTGTCCTGATACCAATACTGACAGGTAAGTAAACACCTGTCCTGATGCTCATACTGACAGTTAAGTTTACACCTGTCCTGATACCCATACTGACAGGTAAGATTACACCTGTCCTGAAACCCATACTGACAGGTAAGTTTACACCTGTCCTTATACCTATACTGACAGTTAAGTTAACACCTGTCCAAATAATTATTTGCAATTGAAGAATGTTTTGCACCTTTGTAAAGAAAGGTAGATATCATACAAAACAACATACCATAAAATCTTCATAAGAAGCTGGCACCTGTCCTGATACCCATACTGTCAGGTAAGTAAACACCTGTCCTGATACTCATACTGTCAGGTAAGTAAACACCTGTCCTGATACCAATACTGACAGTTAAGTAAACACCTGTCCTGATACTCATACTGACAGTTAAGTTTACACCTGTCCTGATACCCATACTGACAGGTAAGATTACACCTGTCCTGAAACCCATACTGACAGGTAAGTTTACACCTGTCCTGAAACCCATACTGACAAGTAAGTTTACACCTGTCCTGATACGCATACTGTCAGGTAAGTTAACACCTGTCCTGATACTCATACTGTCAGGTAAGTTTACACCTGTCCTGATACGCATACTGTCAGGTAAGTTAACACCTGTCCTGATACTCATACTGTCAGGTAAGTTTACACCTGTCCTGATACGCATACTGTCAGGTAAGTTAACACCTGTCCTGATACTCATACTGTCAGGTAAGTTTACACCTGTCCTGATACCAATACTGACAGGTAAGTAAACACCTGTCCTGATGCTCATACTGACAGTTAAGTTTACACCTGTCCTGATACCCATACTGACCGGTAAGTTTACACCTGTCCAGATACCCATACTAACAGGTAAGTTTACACCTGTCCTGATACCCATGCTGACTGGTAAGTTTACACCTGTCCTGATACCCAAACTGACAGGTAAGTTTACACCTGTCCTGATACCCATACTAACCGGTAAGTTTACAACTGCCCTGATACCCATACTGACAGGTAAGTTTACACCTGTCACGATACCAATACTGACAGGTAAGTTAACCCCTGTCCTGATCCCAATACTAACAGGTAAGTTTACACCTGTCCTGATACCCCATACTAACAGGTAAGTAAACACCTGTCCTGATACCCATACTAACAGGTAAGTTTATACCTGTTCTGATACCCATACTGTCAGGTAAGATTACACCTGTCCTGATACCAATACTGTCAGGTAAGTTTACACCTGTCCTGATACCAATACTGACAGGTAATTTTACACCTGTCCTGATACCCATATTGACTGGTAAGTAAACACCTGTCCTGATACCAATACTGACTGGTAAGTAAACACCTGTCCTGATACCCATACTGACAGGTAAGATTACACCTGTCCTGAAACCCATACTGACAGGTAAGTTTACACCTGTCCTTATACCTATACTGACAGTTAAGTTAACACCTGTCCAAATAATTATTTGCAATTGAAGAATGTTTTGCACCTTTGTAAAGAAAGGTAGATATCATACAAAACAACATACCATAAAATCTTCATAAGAAGCTGGCACCTGTCCTGATACCCATACTGTCAGGTAAGTTAACACCTGTCCTGATACTCATACTGTCAGGTAAGTTTACACCTGTCCTGATACCCATACTGTCAGGTAAGTAAACACCTGTCCTGATACTCATACTGTCAGGTAAGTTTACACCTGTCCTGATACTCATACTGTCAGGTAAGTAAACACCTGTCCTGATACTCATACTGACAGTTAAGTTTACACCTGTCCTGATACCCATACTGACAGGTAAGTTTACACCTGTCCTGATACCCATACTGAGAGGTAAGCTAACACCTGTCCAAATAATTATTTGCAATTGAAGAATGTTTTGCACCTTTGTAAAGAAAGGTAGATATCATACAAAACAACATACCATAAAATCTTCATAAGAAGCTGGCATAGAAAATAAGCTTTGGATTACTCAATCAATCAATCAATATTTTATTATAGTGTCACGCATCATTAAGTTCACAAACTATAATACCTAAAATATCATATACAGCGAGTTTATAACAGATGCCCAGCCGATATCGGCTTATGAGACACTTATAACTATTTGTATGTACATCATGTGTAAAATTAAAGTGAAGACCTAGCATATATGCATATAAAATATCCTTATAGAGTATTGCATGTAAAAACTGATAGAATAGTAGAATCACATACCTTTCTTCATGACATTACAGTTAAATCAATATTGCGATACATTATAATTTACAATTGTATATTTACACATTTAAAAGCAACTGCCTCCGTCTGATCATAAAATAATTTGTTTTAGAAAGTGAAAATTGAAGCGCATTATCCTGCAATAAATAAAGTAAGTTCATTAGAATAACTAAAGGAGTTCACTGTGTTTTTGAATAGATCATATCTGATATCACTATACACAGGACAGTCACAAAGGAAACAAGACTCATCTTGTCTGTGTATAGATCATGTTGATACAGATGGTTTTTTTTCTTCCATAGGCAAGACAGAAGTAGAATTACCAGAAGTTCGGATAAATCATGATGATGCAGTGACTGTTGACAAATACCCGATGATTTGGAATGAATTTCGGGACCAAGGCTATGCAACGTTGTTTGCAGAGGACGAGCCAAGCATAAGTGCCTTCAATCTACGATTAAAGGGATTTGAAAACCAGCCGACAGATCATTACATGCGTCCATTTTGGCAAGCCATCTGGGGATCACAGCTTCGCGAAAATAGTGTTCGGTATTGTACTGGAGGTACACCTCATCACAGCTACACCCTGGACTACGTGAAGGACTTCTTTGTCAAGTACAACAATGTGTCAAAGTTCACGTTCGCTTTCATGTCTGAATTGACTCATTGGGATAACAATCCCGGGGAACATATAGACAACGATTTGTTTAAGTTTTTGAAATTCTTTGAAAAGTCTGGTTACCTAGACAACACATTGCTCATTCTGATGGCGGATCACGGGGCTCGATATAGTCGTGTGCGGCACACTATACAGGGCAAACTGGAGGAGAGACTGCCAATGTTTGCTCTCAGATTTCCTCCCAAATATCAATCATTCCATCCAAGGTTGATGGAGAATCTTCGCAGGAACTCCAAAAAGCTCACAACTCCTTTTGATATTCACGAGACATTAAAGGATGTTCTGGACTTGTCGCGAACAAGTAAGTCCAGCCCACCACACAGTAGAGGCATCAGTCTGCTGCAGCAGATTCCACTCAATAGGACATGTGCTATGGCCAAGATTGATGTTCACTGGTGTACCTGCTTGATGCAGGAAAACAGGGATGTGAAAAGTGAACATGTACAAAAGGCAGCTTTTGAAATCCTCTCTTACATAAATCAGTTGACTGAGCCAGTGAGGTCGGAATGTGTTCCCCTAAATGTGAAGGAGATCATACTAGCCTACCTTATGATTCCAAATGAAAAGGTAACTTTGATTTATACATTCTTGATGCATTTGGTTATATATATATACCTAGTTCTAGAATTGCATACCTTATTATAAAACTTTATACCTAGATATGCGATACTTTATACCTAGTTATAAGTATAATACTGTATCCCTAGTACTAGTTATTGTATTGTTTACCCGGTTAGTATTATACTATATACCTAGTTATAATACTGTATACAGTACCTTGTAATTATGTTTTAAACCTTGATAGTATAGTAATACTGTATACCTAGTATTTAGACATTGTATTCATAGTGTATCGTAAACCTAGATAGTATATTGTATACCTGGTTAGTATTTTGTATACAGAGATATTATAATATTGTATACTGTTACCTAGTTATAATACTGTATTGACCCACTTTCAAGGTCACAGAGGACAAATGTGTTCAGAATGATGATAATTATTTAGCCAATAGCATGTTGGAAGGTCACACGGGTTAAATGTTGAAAAAAATCTTTGAAAAAACCTTCTTAATTCCCAAATGGCTGAGGGTTGTGATATTTGGTAATGGTTTGTAGTTCAATTTAGCCCATTTTTCTGTATTTGACCTTTAAGATTACTTGTATGAGATTAATACAATGTGAGCAATACAGGCCAATTGGGCCTCTTGTCATGGGAAGTTTTTAGTAAGTATTTGCATATGTATCCAAAGCACTATACAATGACAGTATTCATGTACATGTTTGGCAAACTTGTTGTGAAAAGTTGTTAGGTTGAACTTAAGCAGAGCAGACATCGAACGGTTTACAGTATGACACATCTGACTGATAATGTTACATGTTTCCTGACAGGTGCTGACATACATCAGGTCCAGGGATGCTGACAACAGAGTGGCAAACTTTAGTCAGGAGGCCACAGTAGACATTGTACATTACCAGATCACCATGGTTACTCTGCCAAACAATGGAATGTACGAGGCCACCATTTTGATGAATGTGACAAATGGAAGAATCAAAGTAAACCCAGAAATGATAAGTCGTTTGGATTTGTACGGTACCCAGCCAGCCTGTATACAACGCCGCTACCCTGATCTCAGGAAGTACTGCTTCTGTGAACAACTGTTACATCACAACACAACATGGCATACAGTGGTGCTACCCTGATGTCAGGAAGTACTGCCACCGTGAATAACTGTTACATCACAACACAACACGGCATACAGTGGTGCTACCCTGATGTCAGGAAGTACTGCCACCGTGAATAACTGTTACATCACAACACAACACGGCATACAGTGGTGCTACCCTAATGTCAGGAAGTACTGCTTCTGTGAACAACTGTTACATCACAACCCAACACAACACGGTGTACAGTGGTGCTACCCTGATCTCAGGAAGTATTGCTTCTGTGAACAACTGTTACATCACAACACAACACAGTGTACAGTGGTGCTACCCTGATCTCAGGAAGTACTGCCACCGTGAATAACTGTTACAACACAACACAACACGGTGTACAGTGGTGCTACCCTGATGTCAGGAAGTACTGCCACTGTGATCAACTGTTGCAATGGCAAAACACAACATATAGTCTAAATCTGGAAATAAAATCACGGAATTGAGTTCAATCCATGAAAATACAACCATAGAACTACCCGGTAATTAGCTCAAGTTTGGACGATTTGATTACCTTACAAACAGATTATTTTAGTACTAAATTAAATAACTATGAATGTTTCCTTACCAGACTTGTATAACAGTTTTTGTTCATGATCTGAATGTTAAAAACACTTAATGAGTTTTACTGTCAGTTCCATCATTCTAAACCAGACTGTGTATTGTAACTAACAAAAATGAAATATACTGTACCTTCTAAGTCTGACAGTTAAAACATTATAGAAAATTCGTGATTGCTAACGCAAAACATTTCAATTTCTGTTTTAAATATTAAATCTGGACACATTTACGCTACAACATTACAGCTGTCATGTTAGGGTATTGGAAGTCAGAAGAGAATGTCTTTCTGTCACACACCTAAATGATATTGGTCTTCATCATCAGGAGTACTTGATGTATTCTCCTTATCATGAAACTATTTGCGTTTTATGAGGGAAACAAGCAGATGTGTTATATTGTGTTGAAAATCAAACTGGAGAGTACCTGTTTTGGGAATTCCAAGGGCTCAACGTTGTCATTGTTTTCATCCAGTTTGACATAATTATTATACAGGAGGTTGACACTATTCTGCCAATATATGACAAGAGGGACTAATTATATTTATTTGATATAAGGGAGTATATCACATAACTGTTTTATATAACTGGGATATAACTAGAACTGGGGAAAACTGTTTTATATAACTGGGATATAACTAGAACTGGGGAATATATCATATTAGTATTTTTTTTACAGGAATACACCTTGTTACTGTATATTTTTCTACTTTAAATATAATTAACAGGAGGGAATATATCGCTTTATTGCTTATGTGGCAGGTTTTAATTGTACATAGAATTAAGGTCGCCTTCTAGCTTCGAGCTAGAAGGAATTTCCCTTTAGCTCAGTGGTAGAGCGTCTGACTAAGAACCTGGAGATCGAGGGCTCAATAACCGGTGGAAGCACACTTTTCTCTTTCCTTTACACTTATATACCTTGGGTATTACTAGCAGAAAAGAGTACATCAAGTTAATATTTTATAAACATTTATATATCGGTTATAAATTTAACACGATTTTATAAAGCGATCAATATGAAATCCCTCTGAGGAACTCTCAGCAGCAACATTTTTTTAATTCTTGTTTACAAAACAATTCAAGTGGGGGTCACAATAGCCTTGATATCCTTATGGTTGACAATGTCTGTAGTCTTGATACGTTGATAAACTGTATCCTTATTGTCAGCGTAGTCCCATGTCCTGTTTATCTCAGTGCCTTCATTATAACAGCCTCACTGTCCACGAGGCTGTCTTCCTCATTCTGTTAAATTCCCACCTTCTATGTACGCTGTATGCATTGGGGTAGTCCGAATTATTCTGACGTTTTATCGACTTTTTTCATATCGGTCTGTCGTTAATCGACGACAGACCGATATGAAAAAAGTCGATAAAACGTCAGAATAATTCAAACTAGCATTGGGGTTGTTGTGCTGTACCTGTACATGTATGTAAGTCTTCAGTCGTGAAAACCTGTCTTCTATATAAATACATGTGTATAGATGTTTATTGAAACAATGTTTCACCCTGAAACCTTTTGCTGAAATCAAAATACATGTGGAATATTTTACATATCTTTTTCATCTGTAAATATCATCACATATGTCTTCCATAACATTAACCACTAGTTTGATTCTAATTTGTGCCTGGAAGAAATATATTGTTATACATGTATATACATTCTTGTGTATTTGTTGTTTTATGCATTTTGTGATGTTGCCACATGTAGCTTAATAATGACCTGTACAGCGATCACATTTTATGATATCATTTGTGTGATGGTATATTTTTTATGATTTGGTCTTGTTGTATAGCTCATATGTTTTAGTTGAAAAACTGATCTTTAATATTTTTCTGTTATGTATTATACACTCACATATTGACATATGATCCCTACAAGTGTCCTGGTCATTGAAGGCACATGTAAAATTTAGATTTTTTTACGTACAAGGATACATGCCGTAAATGATAAGGCTACAGTTATTGTTAATTGTTAGTTACGGTATCATAATAATAAGTTATTAAGGGGAGGTAACTCCGATACAAATCATAAGCATTATTAATGAATAAGGTAACAAACATCTTTCAGGGAGCTAACTATAACACATATCATAGGTATAATGTGTAAGGTAGCATATATCATTAAGGGAGATAACTGTTAAACAAATCTTAGGTGTAATGTGTAAGGTAGCATACATCCTTAAGGTAGATAAATGTAAAACAAATCGGACGTAAAATGTGTAAGGTAACATATATAGGAGATAACTGTAAAACCAATCAGAGGTATAATATGGAAGGTAGCATACATCCTTAAGGTAGATAACTAAAACAAATCGGACGTAAAATGTGTAAGGTAACATATATAGGAGATAACTATAAAACAAATCAGAGGTATAATGTGGAAGGTAGCATACATCCTTAAGGGAGATAACTCTAAAACAAATCATAGGTATAATGTGTAGGGTAGCATGCATCCTCAAGGAAGTTCACTCTAAAACAAATAGTTACAATGCACAAGGTAGCATAATATCCTGGAGGGAGCTAACTCGTGCAAGGCCTGCAGTGTTGTAGTGAAAACTGTCTGGAAAGTGTTTGTCAATATAATCATGCTAGGCCTGGAGTGTTTATAAGTGAACGATTACTAGGCCTGGAGTGTTGTAGTGAAAACCGTCTGGAATGTTTTTGTCAATCATGCTAGGCCTGGAGTGTTTATAAGTGAACGATAACTAGGCCTGGAGTGTTTTTAAGTGAACGATTACTAGGCCTGGAGTGTTGTAGTGAAAACTGTCTGGAATGTTTTTGTCAATCATGCTAGGCCTGGAGTGTTTATAAGTGAACGATTACTAGGCCTGCATTATGTTTTATTGACATCAGGTTTCTTACATTGTTAAGTGAAGTTATTTTAGGCCTGTATAGTGTTGTAGTAAAGAACAACCAGACAAGTAGTATTATTTGAAATCCACTTTTTCTCAAGAAAACTGAATTTATAGACTTAAAAGGATACATTATTTTTACCCTTAGTTATATCTTAAGCATCCACACTAGCAATGTTCCTGTATACTGGGATGATCATTGATGTTCTGTTTGATGATCAAATATTAATAGAATCTATCGCTACTGGTTGTGTAAGATAGAGAAATCACAACCCGAGGACTAAGATTTTTTGTCCAGAACGAGGCTTGCCGAGTTCTGGACAAAAAATCTTAGTCCGAGGGTTGAGATTTCTTTATCTTACACAACCAGTAGCGATTGGTTATTTTTCTGCCATATCTAACAGTATTTTAATGCGAAATAAAGGTAAACATGGACCCAAAACACATACAGGCAATTTGTTGATGGATTGTTGACGTGACGTCATTGTATTGTTGAAGTGACGTCATGCCATTGTTATGAATAGGGGAATCCCCCCGTCTCAACCCTAGGGCGGAGACAGATAAATCTAGCACCGGCAAAACGGGAGATAAATCTGTCAGGTGTGGGAGAATTTACTATAATGTATATATGTGTTTACATTTTTCTCTTTATAGATTTTTGGGCTATTTACATTTACATTTTAATTACCACTACTTATCTATTGCAGGGTTAATTAATTACTTCAGGCAGTAATTTTGTGGGATCACATAAATCCAATGTTGCATGTGTATATACAATGTATGAGGATTATCGTATAGCTTGGGGTATGTTTACAGATCGGTAAGTCTCTAAATCTTTGCTCTTATTGGAATAAGAGCATGTTAAGCACAGGGCCTTGATGACCATACATAAACATATTGGTCGTATCAATAGTATAGATATATATCTAGCTGTTGCTACTACCGTGTGTCAAGGCCCTGTGATAGTGGTCACATTAAATATTTTTATAGTTATGTCAATTGTCAGGTTGTGATGCATTCATGTACCTTATTCAATTATCATAAAAAATAACCATTAATTTGTTTTCATTTTCACATGAAGCATCTTATACATATCTATATATTCATATCAGTACCTAGAAATATTGTCACAAGGAAAAGAAGGCGAAAGGTTTGTTTGTCGAGTTGAAGTTTTATCATATATTTTGGCTGCTATGCAGTAAAGCTGTCGCATACATTTTTGCTATACAGTTGTTGCATAGGATTGAGGGCAGTTGTTTTGGCCAGACTTGTCTGAGGAAGTTTATTGACGTAGTCATGCCACATAAGAAAAAAATGATATTACCAGGGTTGCCAAGTTTCGTGGCTTGAGACAAAATCTCACGGCGAGAAGTCCCAACTCACTCTGAAATGTGTCACACGTAATGATTACATATTCACATTGTTAAAAGTGTAAAAGTTTCTGCTGTTTTTCCAGTCTAATAAAACAAACCGTGGTCGATCATATCATTAACAAGAAATTCATCATATTTTCTGAAACTCACCAAAGCCGACTACATAAAATTTCCTACCAAGTAGGATCTTGTTCTCTATACCATCTGATTGATATTTCAATAAGTTATTATCATCCACCTAGTTTAAGTCAGGGAGAGTCCAGATTCTGCAAGGATTTTGTTAACTCTACCAAGATGATGATGTGATTTTGCAGTGTAACTAAATGGGGCATTATGCTATTAAGTATATTTTATCAAAAATGTTCATTGATTTTCTGCCTAATTATTTTGGATATTTTTATAACAAATTTTGAGAATGCTAAGTCTTATAATTCAACAACACTGTAAAACACTTACACGCTGACTGTTAGACTTGCTGATGAGGTTGCGGCTTGATTTTAAGATCGGTTGTCTAAAAATAGATTCACTGTTTCTTTTTTTTATATCCATTTGGTGCTGTTAATTGATTTGAATATAGTCACAAACAACAAGTTTTGTATGCCCTAGTTTATTTTCATGTCTGTTGGACCAGAGTCATCTAGTAAGAAAATCACTCTAAAACTTCTGTTAAATCATTTTACATCATACATCATATATATACTAAGTATATGCTCATGCTTTGATTACTTTTCTTCTGGATTACCACAGAAATATCTATACTGAAAAATTAAAAATATGATAAAATATTTTGGTACTGTTTTCCTCAGATCTATAGTTCAGCGTACCCTATTGAAGGGTGTAGCGCAAATCATTTTGTGTCGAGAATATATTGTACAGTGGAACTTAACTTATCCCCGTCACTTGATTTCTGTGTTCTGATGTTACAGTAGGGGGACTTGACTTATCCCTGTCAATTAATTTCTGTATCCTGATGTTCATTTGTCCTTTTTTTACGATATATGTATTTTTTCTAGATTTAACGATGAATAAGGTGCTCCCTGTGAAATAGATGCATGTTGTACTTATTTGCGATCTCAATTTAACATTAAGCTGACAGATTATTGTATTCTGCCGTAGCTGTATAACTTTTTACACTTTATTTTTAAGTCTAACTTTTATATACAAACCAGTTGTATGTGTTCCAATGCTATGCATGCTGCTCTTCTCGAGTTGTGTTAAGTTCACAATACAGATTATGTATGCTTCTATGTAAATTGAAAATGATCCAACTTTGAAGTTTTGTACATATATTTGTTTATCAACCTATTTTTTTTCATGGGATATTGAAGTATATGAGACTCGCTATGTTGTCAACACTTGATATAACTGTACAATCAGTCGACTATTTTGTCAATGTTTTGGGGGAGGGGCCTATTAGCCTTTGGCTTCCTGGTCTAGTTTTGAGCTGCTTTTAGATGCTTATCACCTTTCATGCTGTTCCTATTGTTCATTCAAATAATGGAAATGTAAAAGTTATGATAGTGGATACTGTATACCAGAAATTTTAGCCCAATCAAATGTCTGCCCTTCACCAGTGAAATCCATTTTTGCCAAGTATAAAATTTGTCCTTCAAATTTGATAAAGTCTGTATTTACCATGTTGTTTACTAATGTTCACTGTAAAATCGCCCTCATTACAGTATGTAAAGAAGGCCAAAATTAACCTTCAATTTCCTGGTACACAGTATACATTGAAAAAATGTTGAGGCAAGGTAAAACCTGGGACTCTTTGATTTGAAAGTAGACCTGGGCCCACTTGTATAAAACATCTCAACTCTTGAGATTTGCTCAAGTCTAAGATTTCCCATAGACAATACATTACTTGAGATTTTCCTTAACTTTGAGATGTTTTATACAAGTGGGCCCTGTCCTGTACGACCTAAACCATAACCTGTGGTCTTACCAACCGCCAAAACACATTGAGATTGCTTTGTAATATTGTACTGTCTGTATAGAATTATACTGTGTAAGTGGAGATTCTTGTATGTAGAAATGTACACATTGTGATTCTTTAATCGGATTGTGATGTGGAAAGGTTCTCGTTGTGATCATTTAAACTGATCATCGTTGTGATCATTTAAACTGATCACGGTACTGAAATTTATGAGCTGGCAATGGATCTGAATTCTATGTACTTATCATATATCTGTAATCTATAAACAAATATTTGCATGTGGACATTTTCATGATAATGTACTCAATATGAAAAAAATGAGAGCATTTCATATCGAAAAAAACCCCTTAAGTTTCCTTCTATAATGCATCACAACTAGAACTGCATGTCAATAATGTATTAGAATATTGAAATCAGCGGGATGTCATCTTGAAGGTTGTTAAAGTTACTGGGAGTAACACTGGGGTTTGACACTATAATAATATATATATGGTTATGACTTTTAATACCGAGAGTAACCCTTGGGTTTAATACTATAATATATAAATATGGTTATGACTTGAACATATGGGTATGTCCACATGAGCATGCAACATTTTCTGCGACATTTTTGGTTGTCTCAAGTTTTGTTTTTATGATTACTTTATACCGACCTGTACTACAATTGTACTTTTTTTTGTTATTCTGTTTAATATAATGTTAATGGATTTATAATTGAACTCAAATGGGTATGCTTTTGTTAATAAAATCATAAAAACAAGAAAAATAGTTGACAGGTCATTCTACAGTGATATAATTGCAATGGTTGTTATTTTTCCAAATGCCATTACTGGCAATAGTCAAATAATAGTTTGAATTTTTCACTAACCATTGGTTAAAGTTAAACAACTTTTGAACAACTGGGGCCTGGTATGTAAATTTAACCAGTTTAATATGTATGTCTATTGCAAATGAGACTCAACATATATAATTAGATTGAGAGAAAAGACACTAGAAACAAATTTCTTGAATTACAATTTATTATTTCACATGAAATATATATATATATATATAGTAGTTATTATTTTGAAGCATGGTTTGAGGCACATGGTAATCAAAAGTAAAATATTTTTTCAACAAACAACTTCGAAAACACAAATTCAGTATTTTTCAAATATCACAGCATGTTTTGTATTTATATTAGGGCACTCATGTTGCTACATTCATTTCATTAGTGCAATCATCAAATAGTGCACTGACCTTTTCCTTGAGCACATGTAATAAAGAATACATGTACTTCTTAAGTTAAATCTGTACACAAATCGGCACATCGTGCTTTCATTTCATGAGGTCAAACTTTAACAGTTTCTTTCTGGAACATAGTGTCCACACTAAATCTACTAGAAGACCATGAAAAAGTTCAATGTCAGAACCGTTTTTTTCTCTCTTCAACTTGGGGTATGCATCCATATATATACAAGGTGAAGCAATAAATAAGTTTTCCTGGGCTAGAGTTATTTGCCTTGCCAAGGTATTCATCTCTCATTTGATGCTGTGCATTTATGTTTCCCGGGCATTGGTAAAGTGTACGAATCGCAGTTTACAGCAACACTTTTCTTGTCCCCAAATTGTGAACATTATATCCCACTTAATATCACATAGTTTTATGCCACATTTCTCTTAATGACACATTTTCTTCAAACTATTGCTGTTTATCTCATAAATAACAAGTGATATTAAGTGGGATTTACTGACCTATTTATTAGTGACTATTGTACCAAGCATTTTTTTTTTTATAAAATTTCATTTCAAAATGAGGACAAACAATTTTGACAATATCTATAATCCTGTTCGACAACTAATTGTCTAATAAAATGTAGGAACTAAAATGAAGTTAAGTCTTGAGTTAAATAAATTAATTTACTAACTTTACAATGCTACTCTAACATCAATATATAATGAAATAAACCTTCACATATTCATATTGTCAGGTGATTATCCTAGTACAATACATTATATAAGTATTGTTATACAGGAAGTCAGGTATTTTCTCAGTAAATATCTGGAAATACCTCTTACTATAACAGAAGTGAATAATCTTAAGTAAACATCTCTTTCTCTACATGTAGTTAGTATACATATACAAAGGTAATTTCCTTTTTAAGTTCATTTCTGTATTCCCCAGAAAAAGCAGTCTCTCTAAATGTTTTTCAGGGAACTGATCTCTGTCTCCTTCCCTGATCTAAGACGAGAGGTTCTTACTGTAGTATACGTAGTCCCCTTACATATGATCAGTCGTATAGCTACAATAATTTCTGACATTGTTTGCAGATATTTCCAAACATTTTCTTTAGGCTAGTAATTATGGATTGTATATAAATGTTAACGTTTACACATAATAATTTACTGGTTGTGTTATATGAATTTCTATACGAATACAATCCATTTGTTACAGCTATATTTTGACCTAAACTATGGTGTAAGAGAACTTTTACATGTTTTACAGATTTAGATCAAATTTCTGACATTTGTTTCTGGTTTTCACAGCAGTATGTAGTGGTATGATCTATGCATTCTGAAGAAATTAAATCCGTATTTCTGTATACCGGTACTAGAGATCTTAATCAACTGATGACCAAATGGAAAGACTGGCATCTGACGCTGTGTACCGCCCCGTCATCTGGCGATGAGAAACGCCCCGTCATCTGACGCTGTGTGATCTGACGCTGTGTTACGCCCCCGTCATCTGATGCTCTGTCACTTGCCATCTTTCTTCTGTTTCCTTAATTGTTCCTTCTTCTTCATATTCTCATTCAGTTTCTGTAACAAAAACAAACATGATGACAAACAAATGGCTTCCGTCTAGTATTTACCAATATGAGTTGTTTCACTCTGCCATCTTCATGTACACACAGTCGTTCTTTCCTGCTATTTATACTGTTCTCTTACCCAAAAGTTTACTTTCAACTCGTGCAAAATCATATCCAACTAATACATATGCATGCTCCATTATTGGAAAATAGACCATCTGGTATTGCATATTTCAAAAACTGAATCGGATGAATCTTATTTATTCACATATCAAGAAAAGATTAACAGACAATACCAATAAAAATTACTATTATATTATTTTAACATGTGTAGCAAACACTTAAATTATACTGTCACCGTTATTACTTGTAAAATTACCTGTTTAGTTTTCGTTATAATTTATAATTAAACAGAAACTTTAGTTAATTTGATTTGATATAAATAAATATTAATTAATTACTGTGGATAATGATCATATTAGAATTGATTATGTATTTACTGCCATATATATCGGGACAAATGACACGGATCTTACACATCACACCACCGCGGGCGCTGTACAGACAGATGATCAATGTCTGATAATGTTTATGAATGATGAGACATGACGGAAGATGAGATCCAGTAATATGATGCTGTGTTGTAGCCAATCTCTCTCTCTGATGTTCCTGACTTAAGGGATCTCACATAAAGGTGATCATATTCGCAGGAATTTATTTGTGACATTAATAGTGAAGCATTTGTTTACAAATGAATTGGTGTCAACACTATTTACTGATGACATCTATGTTGAATTAGTGCTGTATATTAGAGACTGAACTTCGTGATTCTGCCCAAAAAATATCACCATGAAAATGTTTGAAAGTTTTGGTTTCAAATTGGAAGAAAAAGAGTACGCTAATGGATTATCTTGCATATGGAACCTGTGTCTATAAAACACAGATAGCCTTCTTATCACCATGGTTACAGTGTAAAAAAATCACCCTATCACCATGGTAACATTTGAATATAAAACACAGCTTATCTCCCCGTCACCATGGTAATTAACCTGGGTGCAGATAAACACAGCTAGTATCCCTATCACCAAGGTAACCCTTGTACGTAAAACATAGCTAGTCTCCCTGTCACCATGGTAACCTGCATGTGTACATGTAAAACACATCTAGTATCCAAATACCTATGGTTATTAACCTGTGTACATAAAAATTGAGCTAGTCCCAAACTCCCTATCGCCATGGTAACATTGGATTGTAAAGCACAGCTAATTAGTCTCTCCATCACCATGGAAACCTGCACATGTAAAACACAGATGAGTCTCCCTTTCACAATAACACATTTGTTTAAGAAACACCTAGTCTTCCCATCACCATGGTAACTTTCGATTTTAAAACACAGCTGGTCTCCCCATCACCATGGTAACCTATGTACATGTAAACACAGCTAGTCTCCCATCACCATGGTAACCTGTGAATAACGCTGAGCATGTTATACATGTACCATAAACAATACATTCGTCTTCCATCACCATGGTGATATGAGATGACATCATACATTGTGCTGAAAGAAATGATACAATGAATGATCATGGAGAAGAAAATGTTTTGAGAGACACCTGAAACAAATCAATATATCCATGAATGAAAGGTTACTGCACAACAAGTATGATATATGGGTAATTATATGGGTAGGGTAGGGCTATGATGAATAGGCTTCACTCATTAATAATGGAATTATTCATAATCTTTCAATTGGCGTAATGAATATGCATGAGTCATGACTGTGTATAGACCAATGGTAATGCTTGACAAAATGATCATGAACATATGCATGAGACATTTGACCAATGAATATTCATGAGACAATGGTTGATGAGGTATGCTGGATTGGAGGGATTGATTAAAATGTGAGTTACTCAGTCCCTGCACACTTTGGCAAACATATTAGTTGTTACTCACAACAGCCAGTCTGTTTAGTCCTGTCACAAAACCAACAAAGTTTAGTGCTTGTCAATCTCACACCGTGACAGCATTGGTGCCCAACACACCAACCCGTAAGTATAGCATATGTAACCAAAGCGAGGCTCATGGTATATTACTAGATCTTCCATGCATGCCCTTACCAATTTCTCTAACCCTGAATTATCTTCGAAAATATAATGCAATATACATCAACATTAAGGAGATATTGTGTAGCTGTCAATCTATCATACAGATATTTATGAGCATGTCAATCAATCTTTTATACCGATATACATTAGAAGCAGATGAAGTATGTGATTAATGATTATGTTCACAGATAATTCACACCTAGATCAAAATTGTCTAATGTTTGAATATAATGATCCAATGATAGCCATTTTATCTTTATCATTTCTTCATTAATTTCAACACTAATCCCTAAACAAATAGAAATCCATTTACTGATTCCAAAGAAAGAAAAGCCACTTACTGATTCCAGAAATAGAAATCTATTTCTGATCCCAAACGTAAACTAACTTGATGATTCCAAAAATAGAAAACCCAGTTACTGATTCCAGAAATAGAAATCTAGTTTCTGATTCCAAATGAAGTAAACTACTTAATGATTCCAAAAATAGAAAACCGCGTACTGATTCCGAAAATAGAAATCCACTTACTGATTCCAAAAATAGAAATCCACGTACTGATTTCAAAAGTAGAAATCTACTACTAATTCCAAAAATAGAAATCTACTGGTACTTATTAGACATGTATTACTGATTCCAAAAATGAAACCAACTTACTGATCATCAAAATGGATATCTACATAAGAGAAAGGTCTCTACTGATTTTTTATGAGGTCATTGGGATCTCGTATAAGACAAACCTTAAAATTTAAACCAATTCAGGACAATCACTCTAGGGACATTTCAGGGATCCCTTAAAATTTAGGATTACATCAGGTCAGTTTGAACTTTAGATTATTATTGTAGTTAAGTTAGAGTTTCCAGTCAGATTAGGACAGACCATGTTACCAGCGTGTCGCACTGTTTACAGAGGAAATACACACCCACACGAGAAGGAGAAGAGTTGGACAGGGGAGACAACCTAGTAAGGATACAACAACACAGTTACTTACTATCAGCATCAACTAACAATATTTACATAATTCAGATGAAAATTTGTTAATTCACCCAATATTTCTCAATACTGACAAGATTGCATCCATTTCCTGTGATATTTGATAATAATTTTCCATTTCTAAAATTCTGTATTTAAAAAAACAAATGTCATGCAAATATGAAAGTCAACAAAAGATGATAACTTAAATCAATTTTCTGGATGAAATTTTCTTACAATCACTGTATGCAGTAATCGTTTAAAGTTAAAAGTCACTTGAATATAAAAAGAACGAAAAAAAATGGTAGTTCACTTATAGTTACATTGTATCTACAATTTATTTTTCCAGATAAGAGTCTAAAAGAATGAACTGTTAAAATCATGAAAGGATAAGTACAAAAGGTATTTCAAAAATGTTAAATTAACATCACTACTTGGTATATATGGTAAAAGAGGAAGTAACGAACCGCAAACATCTACAGTGTACTCAATCTACTATAAGTACAGGTTTATCTAAACTAAGACATGTGGTTAAAACAAGTAAACAAATAATTTTATTATTATCAATCAAAGATTCATGTAGATCTACATCAAATTCAAATTCTGTAAACAAATATAAAAATAATTAAATTAAGGGGGAAAAAATTAGGATACTGATTAAACATAATTACAAAAATTCAACTTTGTGGTCAACAATGTACAGACTCGCTGCTGCATAAACTAGTACACAAAGTGTGATCAATAACGTATTGTTTTATGATAATCAGATACGTATATATTACGTAATATAGATATACGTCTCTGTGATTGTCTACTTTCGTTGTAATCATGTCAAGGTTTGTAAATGACAATATACTGTAACTGTATGTTCAATGTAGTTTAATATCTTCTTTAGTAATAAGACAGAAATATAATCTTATAGAACATTGAACCTTCTGCTAATTATAGATTATCACACTGTATTTTCTGATTTTCTGATTGCGCGCACGTGGATAAAACAGAGAGGCCACCGCATGTGGCCTCAAGATTGTATCGCCTGTGACAAACGTCAACAAATAGAAGTTTTGCGCGGAGGAAAACAAAGAACCTTAAAACTACGTAGATTTTTTTTAAACAATCCTACCGTCATTGGCTTTTCCATATGCACATTTACACCGGTAATGGTGTTGTTATTCTCACAATAATTGTCCGTTACTTTGTATTAATATGTTTATAACTGACTATTTTCTTATGCGGATCATTCTAGTGTGGACTGTTTCCGGTTTCGGACGTCATCTGGCGCGAGCAGACGATTTTATTTTTTGAGAAATTTTACTATTTAACATCAAACTAATTGCAACAGAATATGTTTTAATTGGAACTCATTCAGAAACCGTGTATTAACAACATACTAAAAATCGGCAAAAATCGGAGCAGCGAAAATTATGATTTTTACCATAGAATATATGTTCGTTGCCAACTGCGTTCGTACTACCTGATGCGACGTCAAAATGAAGGTCAATCCTTATATTTTTGCTGTAACAAGGTAACTTGTGATAAGTAGAACTGTTTGCTGTAACAAGGTAACTTATGATAAGTAGACATTTTTGCTGTAACAAAGTAACTTGTGATAAGTAGAATGGTTTGCTGTAACAAGGTAACCTATGATAAGTAGACATTTTTGCTGTAACAAAGTAACTTATGATAAGAAGAAGTGTTTGCTGTAACAAGGTAACTTATGATAAGTATAACTGTTTGCTGTAACAAGGTAACTTATGATAAGTATAACTGTTTGCTGTAACAAGGTAACTTATGATAAGCAGAAATGTTTGCTGTATCAAGGTAACTTGTGATAAGTAGAACTGTTTGCTGTAACAAGGTAACTTATGATAAGTATAACTGTTTGCTGTAACAAGGTAACTTATGATAAGCAGAAATGTTTGCTGTAGCAATGTAACTTATGATAAGTAGAAATGTTTGCTGTAACAAAGTAACTTGTGATAAGTAGAAATGTTTGCTGTAACAAGGTAACTTATAATAAGTAGAAATGTTTGCTGTAACAAGGTACCTTATGATAAGTAGAAATGTTTGCTGTAACAAGGTAACTTATGATAAGTAGAAATGTTTGCTGTAACAAGGTACCTTATGGTACGTAGAAATGTTTGCTGTAACAAGGTACCTTATGATAAGTAGAAATGTGTGCTGTAACAAGGTAACTTATGATCAGTAGAAATGTTTGCTGTAACAAGGTAACTTATGATCAGTAGAAATGTTTGCTGTAATTAAGAAGTTTATGATAAAAGAAAGTTCAGTAAAGCATGCATTTTGCAATTCCTTCAGTCAGATCACAAAACTAAACACTTCCTGCAAGTCAGGATAACATTAAATTCACTCAAAGTAGCACCTTCTGGGACTATAGCATAAGATAGAATTTGAAAAGCAAAGGGTAAAGTTGACCCACATTAATCAAGGTACTGGCTCCCAGGCAAATATCTAGATTTCCAATTTAAATGAAACATGGTGTTCACAGTTCATGGGAATTTGTTACGAAGAATACTGCCTGAATAGTGATGTTCTAGCGCATGATTAAAACTTTTTTTTTTTAAAGTGTTACATGGTAAATACAGATTTTAAAATTTCTACAGAAAGTGCTACATAAACTTAGTTTGTTTCATCCAGTTAAGGATTCTTCAAAGAATATGAAAACTTTTTAGCCAATTCAATTTTAAACAGTTGTCAAAAAATAGTCCATTTTTGCCTTGAGGAATCCCTAAATATGGTAACAACACAACAGAAGCCAAGATCTGAATTGTAATACAATATGGCTGTACCTTGATAAACTTTCCCTCTTTTTGCAACTCCACCTATTGCGTGTCTTTGAAGGAAAAAGAATAATAAAAAAAACCCTGACATTTCCACATCACCTTTTTTGCTAACTTACAATTAAAATCTTGGCTTGAAAAAAATGTCAACTTAAGAGTCATGTTAAATTAACCAACTCATCAATATCACTACAGAACATGCAGCATACCAAAACCCCACAAACAAGCTTTAAGAAGATTCCTGTAGTTTGTGTGATCTAGTCAGTACTGACCTTTTGAAACTCTTTGACCTTGTTGCGGTTGGCAGTGACGATTGCCTGTCGTTGCTGTTCCTTGTCCTCTGGTTTCACAGGTTCGTCGTCGTCCAGCCTGTTGGCTAACCTAAACAATCGAGGGTTGTACGCCCTGGATGTTAATGAGGCAAAAAATACAACAATCAACCCCTGTTTGTAAGTGGAAGTCCGGAACTCTGGTTCCCAAAACAGTCCATAACAGCACAGTCCTCACCAGGGCAGTTACCATGGAAACTGGGTACTGGAATAATTTCTACATTAACTGGTTATTTCCAGGGAAATCCAGATACTCTGACAGTCTCCTGACAGCTGTTTACCAGTAATATGTCAAAACAAAATTGTTCATAAAAATTGCCTTCTAAAAGAATTTTTTGATAAGTTCTGGATATTTTACATTTAAATATGTTTCGCATCTCATTTTCATAAAATATGAAGCAATATTTAATGAATTGGAATAAAATTAGCACCTGACATGGCGAGGACTTGTGCAGGAAAAACTCTGGAACCAACAAAGTCTCGCAATCAACATCAACAGCATCAAAACGGTCACTCATCAGTGATGTCGCAATGGGGTGAAGGAGGGAGACAATTTGTTAAACGTTTGTTTGAAATGTAAAGAGCAGTATTAATCTGATGGTTTGTCACGTGTTGTGTGCAATGATCACACTCACATCAAATCAAAGTCAAACAAAAACAATCATTTCCAGGACCAATTAAAGCATCAGCTCACGTAAAACATACCCAGAAAAGCTTGCTGACTTTTCATAACATCAACTCAAAATCGACTAAATTATTATAAATGGTATTACTGGAGAGCCATATTTTTAGTTATATCTTCAGTATGTTTTTGTACCGCCCTATTAGTTATCCCTGTAATACTTCCAGTTATCTACATTCACCTGTAAGTAAAGTGTTCCATCTCGAAGATAAATTGACTTTAGAATCTTAAAATGAATGGGGATTATCCAAAACTAACTTTTTTCTGATGTATGATGTCATAAGCAGCACCTGAGTATAAATATGTTGGTCAGTTGTTTTACGGCAGTCCTATCACAAGGTGTGGACCTGTACAATGGAATCTTGTTAATATTACCAGATCCACTAGTGATTTCTGAAGCCGTTACTGAGACCGTTCTCACGTGCCCTTTCATCAAATTTTATCCACTCTCCCCTCATAAGCTGCCATCTTATGAATTTGTTTGTTTTATTAATAATTGTTTAAATGAAATAGAAACAAGAGGCCCAAGGGCCTTAGACGTCACCTGAGTTATATCATAGGTACTGGTAGCTTTATTTTATTGTTTAGATGTGATGTGGAAATCAGCATGTAAACTAAGTGAAATACAATACTTTTAAAATATTGGTAAATTTTCCTTTTGGGGCCCCCCTAGCCCTCATAACCAAAGATGATTCTGACTAAGTTTGAGTAATTTTCTGCTGAAAATGGATAAATTATACCCAAAAGTGTTGTTTCCCTATATAAACTATAGTATGTTTGTTTGTTTGTTTATGTTTAAAGGCCTATCGACGGCTGTGGTCATTTAGGGCCATGGTGATTTATTTATTTATTTTACTTTTTTAACAAACATGTGAATAGCGAAGATAAAATCAGATAAAATGGTTCATTTTAAAAGTATTCGCATTGTATGTGTAGATAATAAAAAATAATAAAAGGGGGTTAAAATAATAAAAGAGATAACGAATAGATGATATGGAATATGCGATATATATATAACGTCAAAAATGATAAGGTGGGTTAAAAGACATCAGAGTCTATAAAATAGACCGATGTCTTTCAAATAGTTAAATAATGCCTTCGAATCCACGGAACTGAAAAGTGTTTTCATATCCGGGACTCGGAAGTAGTTATCACGAATGTGTTTAAAATCGGAACATTCTATTAAAAAATGCTCCACTGTAAATGGAGTGTCACATGCGTGGCATGAAGGTATATCTTCTCGTTTTAAAAGGTACGAATGAGTAGGATATGTGTGCCCAGTGCGGAGCCGAGCGAGGACAACTTCCTCTCTACGATCTTTCCGACTGGGAATAGATGTTTTAAGTTTATAAACAATAGTAAAATTTACCCCCACCCTCAGAGGGAACGGATGGCTCGGGGGCCTGAAATTGACAATTAATATAAAACTCCTGATGATCTTCCTATCCATGCACTGAAATTGACTGTAGTACCTCTGAGTCTGGAGAATAAGGATTTTTGAAATATTGCTTAATTTTCCCTTTGGGGCCCCGCCTTGGCCCCAGGGGTTTTAGTAAGAATCCCAATTTTACAATTTAAAACCATCTTTCTCCAAGGATAATTCTCACCAAGTAAAAATAATTTCCTACAGAAAATTGTCAAAATATACCCAAAAGTGTTATTTCCCTATATAAACTGGAGTAAATGTTACCCCCTCCCCAAGGGAGAATGTATAGCTCGGGGGTCCTAAAATTTACAATTTAAATAAAGCCCCTGATGATCTTTCTTTCATGCAGAGAAAATGACAGTAGTACCTCTGAGTCAGGAGAAGAAGATTTTTGAAATATTGGTTAATTTTCCCTTTGGGGCCCCGCCCTGGCCCCAGGGGTTCGGGTAGGAATCCCAATTTTACAATTTTGTAGCCTCATCTAACAAGGATGATTCTGACCAAGTTTGAATAAATTCCATCTACTAGTTCTTGAGAAGTTGAAAATGTTTACGGATGACAACGGACGTAAAGCGATCAGATTAGGTCAGATCAGATTAGGTCACTTGATTTGGTAAGATTCAAATGTGACTTTAGGGGTGAATGAGTTAAAGTGGTACAAGTACACTGTACCAATAACCACTCGTCAGCATGACAATATTTGTACGGTAGTCTATCCAGCATATCATCTACCAGGACTACCTTAAAACAGCCAATCTTAACATTTATTTTCCTGAATGCTGCTTACAATGTCAATAAAAAATAGTTTTTTTTATATAATGGAACAAACAAACGTTACTTTCATATTTATGTCATAGGATAGGAAAAATGCACGGCCAGACCAGGGTTCGAACCTGGGACCTTCCAAACTCTACCAATTGAGCTTCTTGGTCCCCAACGATCGACCCAGTCCAGTCCCGCTACATTTACATAGTCTGCTGTATTGAACTAAAGAGAGATTGTAGAAGATTAACATCAACAAAGTCAACCATCATCGAGAATTTTTAAGCAAAATAAGTATTTCCTTAGCAAAGAGTGTGATAGAACGTGAGGAAATGTGCATTCTCAGTAACTATAGCAACAGACACCCACAATTATGCGCAGTAGCATGCTGCATGCCGATGAGCATTAGCCCAATAGTGTAAAGACAAAGTCTAGCCATTAAGCCTCAATGTGCTCATTCTGATGAAGTATGACCCTGGCGCATGTTTTTGACATTGACATATGAAATCTGATGTGATCGCTGTAGATGAAATTCTACCTAAGGACAACATTGGCTAGCAGATCATTAATGATTGATGTTGCGCATGAAACTGATATCATCTACAAAATTGATGTAGGTGACAACTTACCACAAAAAAATTTAGTCTTTCATTTTCCTTGGTTTTATTTGTTGTAATTTAATACACTATGAAGACCATCATACAGTATTCACTAAGTTTGTTTTACGAATCATTGAAAAAATGAATTTTGACACAGATGCCAACATTTTAAACAAAATTTAAACATCATGATTATTAATATAGTAACAAAATTATGATTATTTCAAATCAACACCTTTGATTATCAGCAAATGCACAAATGTTAATTGATAGTAATGTACAAACCCAAGCCAATTCCAATGTTTAATGAGACAACCAATACCACACCAAGAGTAGCTATAAAGGGGAGGTAACCTTCGTTATAGGTCAAACAAAACCACACCTTCAGGGATTAGTGATTCCACTCCAAGGGTTATACAGGAAACACTCAACAGTGCAGAACACATCACATGCTTTGTTGGACATTAACATAAGATTGACCTCAGCTGAGGTCAAAAGACATGTAACAAGGTCAAGGTCATGCACACATAACAGGACCATGTGACAGGTGAGTGACGACACACAATGATGCTGTGATATTATGAATTGCGAGACTGATATACCACAAGGAAACATTTCTGGGTTGACATACCTAATAAAATCAAAACAAACTTTTGAATTTCAAAACTTTTACTAATTTCTTGGATTTGTCAATTTTACTCATGCATCATAATTACCAAATCCTTATTTTCAGATTTATACTTAAAAAAAATTCTCCAAATCCTTTCATAATGCATTAGTTCTCTGATCTTCAAATGAAGACACCATATTAAATTCCAATTAAAAACCAATTCAAAGATGTGTTTATGGCCAAAAATGCTTCCTCTGACTTCCACTTACAATAAATAAGATAGCCCTACACAGGCTAAGTAGCTCTCCCCAATTATACATTAACATCAATTAATTAAGTCAATAACAAGCTCAACTAATCATATTTCTCCAGTAATTTAGATAATAAAATAAAAAAAGATATAAGTACTTTCTATTTTTATCTGGATGTAGGAAAATTAAACTGGTTGCATAATCAACTTTGTAGTGAATTAAAACACTTACTAAATTGTTGAATGGAAAATAGACTAGATGTATTCAATTCTAAATTAAATACAATTTAAAAAAAGTTCAATTAAAACTACAACTAGGGCTATATCTGGATTGGGTGGCTCTATACACTGTACAACTCTACTCCTATCATTTAAAAAAATGTATTATGCAGAATTTTCTATGGAGCTCTGTGGTTATTTTCTTTTCCGTAAATATTTTCCAAATTTGTAACTCTTAAATTCCAAGTACAGTATTTGGACAGACAGCTGATCAAAAAACAAGTCTTCAGTTAACTGAACTGTCTGTCTATAATTGTAATCAATGATATCTACAGAAATAAAAAAATAAAAGATCACAATGATGTTGATCTAAAAATTACATCAGAAAGAAATGTCGACCAAAATCAACCTTTGAGAAAATGTTTTTTCATCATGTTTTGGAGCAAAAAGTTATGAAAATCACTTACGGTAATTGACCAAATTTTAAGTGTGATATCTACCAATTTTACAGTGAGTAATCATTGCATTGAAAAAGTATTGAAGCTATATATCAATAGAGCTAAAAAACGTTAAAGATTAAAGCCAAAGATATTTGCTTTTGTTGCATATTTTAAAGACAGAAAATACCCCAAGTTAATTTTGATAGCAACATTAGTTTGTGACATATAGATTAAAACTTGGTACTACATATCTGTATATCATTTTCAAACGACATTAATGCTGTTTTAACACACTCAAAATACCCCAACCTTCATGAAAGTTAAATTCCTCTACAACTTTGGTGATGCAGTTTTTTAATCCAAAAACGTATTATCTAGTTATTACATGTACTGTATATCAATTACGGTATTGGTAATTAAATGGCTATTCTTAATACAGACCTAAGACCTAACAATTTTGAATGCAGTTACATACAAAAAAAAATGAAAATGTCAAATATATTTTTAACTCAATTATTATCAGTATTAGCATTGATTATAACAGTTACTGAGATATTTGTGTTAATTGGTTAATTCCCGATCTAGGTAGGATATATATAGCTTTACAGACAAGCTGCATGCTGCACAAACACCACACATCAGACAGTCAACATAGACATTAAAGTCAACGGGACAGGAGTAAAACACAAAACTACTACAGTGTACAGCAGACTTGCCAACTTTTTTGAAATTTCAATGGGGGAATTACGTGCGCTCAGAACTAAAACCATAAATAAAATGTGTGTATATACACCATAGGAAAAGTAACACTTTTAAAAAGCATCTTTTGAGCTTTTCTTTCAGGTGAAATCATCAGATCTTAGAATATATAACTAGTTTAGTACATTCTGATTCACTGGCTGAAAATACTCGATTTTAGGGTCCAAAATCATCAGGAGTCTCCTTCCATTATAGGGAGAGTTGGCAAGTAGGGTACAGAACACAAGAATGAATAAAACAAAGCATTGCAATGACAGACACTGACACAACAGTATACAAGCATCAAAATGACAAAGACTAAAAGTACAAGTTTTTCGATGATTATGACCATCACCACTATCTACAAACACCTACTACTAGCTACTGGCACCTAGACAATGTTACCTCATGTGGCGCTCATACACAATTTTGTCAGCAGCACGTCTGCGCTCCTCTTCAGTTAATAGTGCTTCCTTAGTAACGACCTTCACTGAGCTGGAAGGTGTCTCCTTGGACTGGAGTGGCTGAGGGGGTGGGGCTACAAATACAAAGCAAAAATTAATTGTATATGAAATAAGATTGATTATATTCCTACATACAATTCTGTTACAGCATGACTTGATAGTAGAAGGGACTTCAGATGAGATAAAAAAAATACCTTCAAATGCAAAAATACCATTTTGTACAAGAAACAAACTTAGGGATTTACACAAGTGTTAGGGGTAGAACAATGTACCATAAACTGTAACAAAATAACAGAAACTGTTTTTTCGGCATGATTATGGCTTTGATTAATCATTTCTAAAAGGAAAGCCTTACCTTGCAGGACTTTCAAAAGAAATAATAAAGATGAAATAAACCAAATATAATTAACAACAGTGTTCTGATTGTAAAAATCAGCAGGGCTAGACCAGGGTCATACCCTGGACTTCAGATTGCTATACCATCTCTCTAACCAATTGAGCTACCTGTTCATCGGAAGTATCCTAGAACAACTGTGGGACAGTTTTATCCAAAGTTAAGGGGAGGTTACTGTACAAAGGAAAACACACAGTACTGTGGGACAGAAATTGATCAACAAACTAAAGCCTGTCTAGATTAATACATTAGTTACAGAGATACAGTCTGAGAGAACAAAGCACTTCAATCACTATGGCAACATCATTGCTATTCTCTCCTGTTTGCTCTGTAGATCTAGATTGGAGAGTCACAATATCACAATTGAATTCTAATGATGAAGGAGAAATAAATCATCCGAGCTACATCAATATCAATGAAACAAAATCCACCAGTTATTAAAGTGCGATGATTTACATGTACAATGCGAGTATGCCTACCTGACGACTTGACACTTCGACTTTTCTTCCATGAGGCTAGAGTTTTGGACAATCCTGTTGGGCCCACAGACCTTACGACTCCACTGTCATCAGCATCCCTGGACTTCTGACCTGACCCTGGGGCTGATGTGGGACGCCCTGTTTCCTTTAATGGTTTTTTCTTCATGGTATTCATTTCCCCTTTTTGAGAGGTCATAAAATCTGCAAGGCTGACCACAGCACCAGGTGTAACTTTCCCTGCTGATGGTGATTTAGGGACCTCCTTCACAGCCTTCTTCCCCCCATCTTTCTTCGATTGTAGGGCCTTATTAAGATAGGTTCCCGGTACCTTAGGTGCCTGCTTCTTTTTCCCTGCCTGGGCTTCCTCAGCAACCTCAAACATTTTCCGCCTTTCGCCGACCTTGTCACCTAACCTTGTATCTCTGGGCGAATCTGATGAGTCAGCAGATCGCCTTGACGACAAGGTCTGTTCTGTGGACGTCCTTGCAGACGAAGATTCAAGTGACCTTGCCACATGAGACTCAGAGGAATTCCTGGTTGAACCAGAATCTAAAGAACGTACAATGACTGGTTGTGCTGGTTTCTGGTCATCTGTTTTGGGTTTCTCTCCCTCATCATCCAGAAGCCTTGACCAGGACACTGGTGGTCTACTCGGCTCCTGCTGGCTGCTAAATTTCATGGCTAAGGACATAGTTGGACTGACCATTACTGGTATAGCGTGGAACAGAGTATCTGAACCGGAGTCACTGCCTGTGTCTTCACTCTCCTCAACAGGTGGGGGTGGTGGGGGTGGCGGGGCATAGCGGGGAGGGGACAGTGTCCTGGCAGTGTTTGGACCCTCGTCCTGGTCGTACGACCTGGATGTGGTGAAATCTGAAATTCATGCAATTGAAACTGATTAGTTCTGAAGCCAATAAAATTCTGATAACCTATCCAACTTTAAAACAAAAAGCAATAATTTATAGCTTTTGAATCAACGAGATTTAAGATTAAAATTCATCTCAACCTTTTTTTCATTTCCTGTTGATACAATACTGTATGTGTTTAGTATTTGAAGTAATATAATAAACCTGTTTTACAGCAACCATGTGTCCGATTTATGTTCTTGAATATGTATACATATAAGTTGTAGTCATGGTAACATGTATTACCTGTGTAGTCATGGTAACATGTATTACCTGTGGAGTCATGGTAATATGTATTACCTGTGTAGTCATAGTAATATGTATTACCTGTGTAGTCATGGTAATATGTATTACCTATGTAGTCATGGTAATATGTATTACCTGTGTAGTCATGGTAACATGTATTACCTGTGTAGTAATGGAATATGAATTACCTGTGGAGTCATGGTAACATGTATTACCTGTTGAGTCATGGACATATGTATTACCTGTGTAGTAATGGTAATATGTATTACCTGTGTAGTAATAGTAATATGTATTACCTGTGTAGTAATGGTAATATGTATTACCTGTGTAGTCATGGACATATGTATTACCTGTGTAGTAATGGTAATATGTATTTCCTGTGTAGTCATGGTAATATGTATTACCTGTGTAGTCATGGTAATATGTATTACCTGTGTACTAATGGTAACATGTATTACCTGTGTAGTCATGGTAATATGTATTACCTGTGTAGTCATTGTAATATGTCTTACCTGTGTAGTCATGGTAATATGTATTACCTGTGTAGTCATAGTAATATGAATTACCTATGTAGTCATAGTAACATGTAGTACCTGTGTAGTCATGGTAATATGTATTACCTGTGTAGTCATGGTAACATGTATTACCTGTGTAGTCATGGTAACATGTATTACCTGTGTAGTAATGGTAACATGTATTACCTGTGTAGTCATAGTAACATGTATTACCTGTGTAGTCATGTAAATATGTATTACCTGTGTAGTCATGGTAACATGTATTACCTGTGTAGTAATGGTAACATGTATAACCTGTGTAGTAATTGAATATGTATTACCTGTGTAGTCATGGTAACATGTATTACCTGTGTAGTCATAGTAACATGTATTACCTGTGTAGTCATGGTAATATGTATTACTAATATGTATTACCTGTGTAGTCATACCTGTGTAGTCATGGTAACATGTCTTACCTGTGTAGTCATGGTAACATGTATTACCTGTGTAGTCATGGTAATATGTATTACCTGTGTAGTCATGGTAACATGTAAAATCACTGAGATATGCGACACTAGTATAACCTGTGTAGTCATGGTAACATGTACAATGTATTACCTGTGTAGTCATGGTAATATGTATTACCTGTGTAGTCATGGTAACATGTATTACATGTGAAGTCATGGTAATATGTATTACCTGTGTAGTCATGGTAACATGTATTACCTGTGTAGTCATGGTAACATGTATTACCTGTGTAGTCATGGTAACATGTATTTCCTTTGTTGTCATAGAAGGTGTCTTCTTTCTGACATTGTGGAAGATGTTTTTGTTTGTCATTAAAGGTGTCTGGACTTTGATTGTGAAATGTACCTAATTTGTGTTACATTTCATTGGAAGGGGTCTTACCTGTAATGTCATGGAAGGTATCTTGCGTAGACTTTGAGTGTGTGTTCGACACATCGGGATCAGTCAGGCTGGCTTCATGTTGCTCAAAAGACAGTGTGGAATTACTACTAGCAGTGCCGCGACTACTGTGAACAGACTTTTGGGGTGTCTGGCCGAAGTCCTCCTGTACCATACTGGTATTGGAGCTGAGAGTGACTAGTGTCAGGTTTGGCTCCTCAGATATACCAGACTCGTAGCCAAGCTGTAAGGACATCAACAACAGCCATGTACTCACTGGATACATATCTTGTACATACATATGTATATTGACAATGACACATTGAAAGGATGAAGACAATGGAAAATGCAGAGCAAAGAGAACTATGTTACAAATTTATATGTTATTACAAATATCAAATGCTTTAACAAAGCTTTTCTAAATATTCTATGATTCTTATCTAAATGATATATATTTCTATTCAAATAAAAATAAAAAATCCGGACAATTTTCAAAAGTCTTTATGACGTATTTGCATAACTGAAATTCATGAAACCATGAAAAACAAAGAACTTTATGTTAGCGAAAGACTTCCTTTACCTGGTCTAGACTTGTTGCGTCTCCAGCTGAGGGCAGACTGCTGGTTACCATGGTAGCAGAGTCCTCAGTCAACCTGAGTGGGGTCACATCAAAGCTTGACCCTGCTGTTGTTGTGGACAGCTTGTAAGAGTCCTCTGTTGATGCTACGTCGGAGATGGAAGCCGGTTCATGGTGACCAGACAATCTGTCATGTGACCATGCCTGACCAATTGTCCCTAGATGCTCAGTGTTTTCAGCATTACTTGACTGGTTTGGTTTTTTGTTTATAAGCTGTTTATGTTTTGCAATAATGTCTCTTGATTCTTGTATCAACACATCCAGATTTGCAAATTTCTTGTCTACATAACCATCTTCCGAATCTTGTTCAGATTCTGTGTCCAAACTGTACTGACTCAGACCTTGTGTGGAGTCTGCCCCATGTCCCGATGGACTTGTCTTGTCCAAACTATACTGACTTGGTTCCTGTGTTGCTTCAGCCCGACGACCAGATGGACTAGTCTTGTCCAAGCTGTACTGACTCAGCGACAGATCCTCATCAGTACCCAAGGTATACTGGCTCAACTCTGGTGCACTCTTTTCACCTCTCTGGGACACATCAGAATCATTAGTATCCAAGGACACCTGTGTGAGTGAAGATTCATTTCGAGTGGCCTTCCCTGTGGTGTCAAAACTATACTGGCTCGGGGATTGCTCCTTGTCAATCAGCGTGATCCCCTGGGTGTCCGACAACAGACTGTACTGACTGACCACTGGGGGGCCTCCTGAGCTGACAGAGGATGGTACCTCTGTTGATTGGCTCGACAAAGAATGTATTGAAGGTCTCTCGATGACTGACGATGAAGACAAACTCCCCCAGCCCTGACTGCGTGGAGTCTCTCCTTCTCCCCTACTGGAATCGGATGTGATGGAATGACGAGAAAACTCTGATGCCACAGCCAAGGTTTGGGGTCTCCCTTGGGCAGTATAAGGAGTACTTGTATATGCATAAGGGCCAGACTTGACAGATTCGTTGTCTGACAGGATACGAGGACCTCGGCGGTGCTCCTCCCTCAGCTCATCTCGTAGCTGTAGCAAAATACTGTCACGGTCCCTTCGGAATGGCCCAAAGTCTCGTGAGTTACGACCATGGAGTTCCATATCAAGATAGGAACTGGAGGATGAAACAATTCCCTCACTGACATTAGACCCAACACTCTCACGGGTTCTACTTGTACTGTCCATAGAGTCCCGCAACAGCTGTGTATCTGATTGGTCAATATGGCCAACAGGTGACCCTCTCACACCTGAAATGTCAGCACGACCTTCACTTGATGCTGCAGATGACCTTGTTGACCCTGAATGGTCACTTGCAGGTCCTTGGTGAGAGAGTTCCTCTGCTAGCCTCTCTATTGATGATCTAGTCCTGCTTCCGTCCCCAGATGAGAAAGAAGGCTTCTCAGCGAAGGTGTCCAGCGATACGGATGAGAATGGTTTTTGATAGGTATGGGTAGGCTCCACTGAGAAATGCATAGCATCATAGCTCCTGTCAACCTGAAGAGGTTTAGGATCAGGCAGGTCTAGGTACCCTGACTTACTGTCGTCCTGTGACTTATCATATTCAGACAAGGTATGCTGACTGAGATCCGATCCATTGGCTTTCTCTTCTGAAGATGAAGGCTGTAAGAATTTAAAATCTTGTTGTTTTGAACCTGTCGATGTTCTGTCAGGTTGAAGTGGTTTGAACTTTTCCTTGTAACCCAAAAACTCATCGGCCCACGACTTGTTACTCTGGAATGATCCGTTGGCACTTCCAGATTTTCCAGAAGTCTGTCCGACATATCGGAATGCGTAGTTGTCCGAGGCAGCCTGGGAATGCTGTGACACCATGCTGTCATCTATCGGCCCTGTGGAAAACCGAAATAAATTTGTGGTATTGATGTTTTTCTTGTATCCATCTATATGATCAAATCAGATTTAAATACTGCAATATCATTTTCTAGACACTTATCAACACTTTCCTTATACAGGATAGTATCATCTCAACCTAGATCAAACATTATTGTAAGTACAAATAAAAAAGAATTTAAAACTGTACATGTATTATATCATACATAAATCTGATTTTGATCCATTCTGACACAAAGTTTATGTAAAATACTGGAAACTTCCTATTTGATGAATTTAACATTTTGGAGCAATAGTATTCATAAGCAATAAACCCATTTTTTTTTAAATCACTGAGATATGCGACACTAACCTGTGGACAGTGATGAGGGTGACAGAGTGCCAGCAGACAGGGTGTGGAAGCTACCCCCCAGGGTGGGACTGTGTGTGCCGTGCCTCTGCCCCTCTGTGGAGTCCAGTGAAGCAAACACATCATTGGTCTGTCTCTTGAGCTTGTCCAGCAGACCACTGTCCAGTTCCCTTGCTCTGGACATCACTTCGTCTATCTGGTGAGTGTGATAACCAGACTCCCCTGCTGACCGTCGGTCAGTGGGGGTGGGCACTCGCTCAAATTCCTCTGGTATTGTAGGTCGGTCAAAGTCTATTGAACGTTTCACGGTGGATGATGCTTCACTTGAAGAGAGGCTTGGTCGGCCGGAGGAAAGGCGAGCTTCAGAATAGCGCGTACTGGCTGGTGTGTCCACCTCCTGTGTATAAGTAAATAGGTGATGTTAGGTTTATTGCTGGAATATCTGTGATGTATTTCAGTACACAGTTTCACAAGTATCCAATTACATTTAGTGTATCTAACACGTTTACAAGTTATTACTAGGTACATGGTAACTGAGGTACTAGACAGAACAGGAATGTTCGGGCATTGAATCATGGCTAACGTCCAGTGTAACTATTATTCTATTCACATTATAAGGTAACATTTAAATTGTGAACAGCATTCTGTCCAGAGTCATAGTCATGCAATCCTGTTCAGAATTATAGGACTATATCTCTGAACAGAAAGCAGTTCATTACTTATATTTTTCGTTCATTTGACTATTAATTCATAATTTAGCTTTCATTTTTTTTTTTTTAAATTTAAGGTTGATTTTTAATCAATGGAATAGCCAACAGCCAGTATTGGCAGGTCATCTCTGAATTACGATGTCACAATTGTAATGACATCATGATGATCCATCGAGATTCATAGTCTCATAAATCACAACTGACTTTGTTAGTAAATTGCTGTATATAGTGGCAACGCTTACATGTATCGTGCTGAGTTCATGTGGCTTATGAGTCCCTAGTTGAACAGCCCCGCGGTTAGGTGGTTGTCCAGGAACAGGTCTCCCAGGGGGTGAGGGTTGCTTCCCAAGAGGCGAGGCGTCAGAACTCAGGTCAGAGGTTTCCAGGCCGGAAGTATCACCAGTCAGGGAGGTGTCTGTAACCAAACAACTCTCTCTGTTACTACAGGCACATTAACAGAGATCGTAATCGTTTATTCCTCATGAACATTCACCCATTACAACATACCCCGCAACCAAAATAACTTTGACTCAATGAGTTCAACATCCTTCCTGATTTCAACTGGTAATTTTTTCCTGAACTTTTAATTCATTGAACTTTACTCACTAGACAGAAACATTTGGATGATCAAAACTGTATATGAAGACCAAAGGCAGAAAGAAAGAGTCTTCATTAACAGATAGTTTTTAAAGATGGGATATTAAAATAAGAAGTAAAATACTGAGAACAATAATTATAATAATAATTTGAGGTTCTAATATACCGCTTTATCACAACTTAGTTCGTAGGTCGTCTCAATGCAGTTCACAAATTATTATCCGTGGTTATAGGGCCTTTGCAACCAGCCAATATTTATTTATTGAAAAAGTAACTTTTCCTAAATCTTTGTGTATGAGATACTTCACTTTTTCATTAAAGGGTTTTAATTTCATTTGGCCTTCTGGCGTATACAATCCACTAGCCTGATACCTAGGGCTAGTAGATTTTATGTGAAAATTTATACTATGAAATTATAGGTTGGGCTAGTAGAAGTTTTCAAAATCAACCTGCAGACTAGTGTTCTAAATATGAAATTGCACACACATGACCTTACAAAATGTTTACTATTCATCAATTTACCTCTGCTTTATTTTCTCTATTAAGAAAGAAGCTCATTAAATTAACTAAGACCTCACTTTAGCCATGACACTGCTTTTCAAGGAGTTAGTCCTCACTCCCATGTCTTAGTCTGAAAACTAAAATACCTCTGCAGACTAACTCATTGGCAGTTTTTGTAACTTCCCCATGGAAATGACCAAGCTTATCTGCAGGTGAGAAGTGGTTGGAACATGCACTGAACTGACCCTTTTCATGTTCAGCTGTTACTGAATGAGAAACAAAAGCACAAGAGTAAACACGGCTCTTGATAGATTTTGGAAATTATGGCTTGGATTACTCCTTTTTACAAATGTCTCTGTGTTTCGTATCAGTATGATATAACAGGAAAAGTATGGGATTTCAGGATAATGCAGTTCCTGGTTACTCTCAACTAGATTTATCTCCCTCTTCTTTGCTCTGAGAATTCTTTTTTATATCAGGGATCCAGAAACTTGTTATATCCCTCAAACCCTTACTTTAACTCATTCACCCCTGAAATTCATAATGAACTTTTCCAACCTTTGAACTGGAGGAGTTCAAATGTGTTTTCAGGGGATAAATGAGTTAACTGTATAAATACTATGACCACACTTCCAGTTAATGTCTACACGTAATATTGTTATATGTCTGAAGTACATTAACTGGAAATATGGAACCAAAAGAAAAGCTAAGGTTAAAAAAGTAAAAAAATACTGTATCTGACATACCTTTCCCAGACATATTGAGGGATGTATCACTCTCATGGTTGATCTGTCGCTGAGCACGAGACAATTTGCTACGTAGGCGCTCCTGTTCTGCCATCAAATGGATTTGTCCAGTTTGATGTCGCTGTAGAATATCCTCCTTTTGTTTTTGAATATCCTCCAACTGTCTCCGTAAATCTGCTTGTCTTTTCTCAAACACTTGGTTACGGTCTCTTGACATTGTCAAGAGGTCAGAATCCGACTCTGACCCTGACCTTCGACCCGGGAGGGCTGGGCTCCCTTGCTCAGTCGAAGATGATGATAAAGCTGTGTCATCAAGATCACTACGACCAGTGTCACTGTCCCGAAAATGCTGCATGGCTGTTAATGGTGATTCCTGTAGAGAATCATTAAATGACAGCGACTTCCTCACCCTGTCTACTTTGGACCCCTTACTAGCCTCCGAACTTGGAATAGCTCCGCCTTTCTCTGGTTGCATGTCTCTACCTAGTAAACTGCTAGCTAAAAGTTTCCCGTTTTCATGTGACAGTCTTGAGGCATAGTAAGGGTGTGAAGCCAACTTTGACAACAACTCAGAGACAGCAGATTTAGCGGGGGATTTACCACCGGCAGGTTTGTCTGTTTCGTGTTGTAATCTTGACTCAAACAGGACAGACATGCTCTGTGCCACACTAGGGTCGTGACCAACGTTCACCTGGCTCCCAGACCTGTCACTCTCCGGAGATTTCAATTCTAACTGTGGGAACCTCTCTAATAATTCTTGCCGTCTTTTTTCAATCTCGGCTCTCGTGTCGGAGAGAATTTTTTTACTATGTTCATGCCTATGTAACAAATTCACTTGATACTCTCGAATCTTTTTCATTTGATCAGAATGGTCATCGGCTTTCCCCTCCCCTGGTAACATAGCACCTGACAGGGTGTGGGGAGCGGGGGGCAGTGATGAGTTCAGGTAGTTTGTCTGCTGCTGCCGGGCAGCAGGCGACAGGTATGCACCAACAGGAAGTTGACGGTGAAGGTCAGAGGTCAAGCCATTTTGACCTTTTGATGGATGAAGGTCAGGTACCATACCAGAGTACCCTTTTGACTGATAAAGTTCAGATGTTACGCCATTCTGAGCTTTTGACATAGAAACATTTGGTGGCCTCTCCGAATCACTCAAAGAGGTAGGCTGTTTTGTGATTTGAGTGGGAAGTCCTGAAATTCCATAAAATCCAGATGCAGGTTTGTCTTTGGCAAGATGAGCAACAAGGCCAGCTGATGATAGATTCACAGATGAAGAGGAAGAAGGTGCGTGGCCATTCATAAGGAAGTCTGGTATCTGAGCGCCCTCTGGTGGTGCACCAGAACTCGATGCCTCAGGCTCCAGAATGGACTTATGGTAGGAATCAAGGGCTGCTAATTTGGCCTCCAGTTCTCGCTTCTGTTGTCTAGGAAGAAAAACAGGCAAACGGGTAATGGAAAGGATCAACGAAGTATAAATACTATACAGTATTTACTTCATTATAGACAGGTAGGTTTAGGATCAGTCTATCTTAAATACTGTACATTGCAAATTCATTACAGACAGGTAATGATTGGGGCCAGTCATGTTTAAATACTATACATTATTTACTTCATTAAAGACAAGTTAGAGTAAGAATCAGTCCAATTTAAATACTGTACATCGCAAATTAATTACAGACCGAAAATGGCGAGGCCAGTCAAGTTTAAATACTATACATTACTTAATTCATTACAGAGAAACTTTAAATCTCTTTACACTATTCAACAATATTGTCAAATATACAAAAGATATTTCAAGGTTGCCTCTGAATAAAGGCAAGCTTTGAACAAAGGAATATGTTTCTCCAATGCAACACTACAGGGTGTATTACCAACAAGTGGGACAGATACAAATGAAAACTGCATAAATTGAATATATTTTAAAAATATATGCTGAAGTCATTTTAAAAGTTTACACTACAGTAATGTTCCATTCAAACTTTTAGATTAGTTCTTGTGTATGTTAATTATGAGTAAAAAATCTACACACTATTTAATATTATAAAGATAACTGTATGGAAAGAGAATGTTTGTTAGTACAATTTTTACAAAGTAATCATAAAATAATTAAAAAGATGTGGAGTTGTTCTACTATTGACTACTCTGTTGTACTGACTAAACTATAATATAGAAACAAACTGTACAGGAAAAGTTACAAGAAAAATGTAACAAGGCATTTGGATTGATATGTCTCGCCTGTGCCCCGCTTTGACCATCAATGCACATATCAGAGAAACTAACTTAAACGTAAAAACTTTGATGAGGATGCTGACAAAGTCAATGGACCATGAAAGGTAGGCCGCATCCAGTATTTGATGCATGGGTTGAGATGTAATACCAAAGATGCATCTATGGTCCAAGTTTGGTTGGTGTAGCACTTAAATTATATTTTCAGTGAAACTAAGTTAAATGCAAAAACTTAATGTTGACTCCACTGTTGCAGGAAAAGCAACACCTGAGTCTCGCTTCCGCTACTTCGTGGCAGCAGGACAAAAATGGAATGTTATTTTACATTGCACTCTGCTGTCAACCATGGCAATTTTTTTTTGCATAGAAGCAGCAAAAATATAACACAATTGTTATCATCATAATGACAGTTCTTTAATAGTTTAATGAAGGCCTTTGTACCTGTGAAAAGCTGTCAGAAATATCTGTCCTGTAGGGTTTCTTTATACATGGTCGTAATAGTGACATCACAAGGAACTATTGAATAACATCTTATTTAGTCTATAGTTGATGATTCTCAATAGCTGATGCCATAACTGATACAACTATTCATTTATTATGGCATAGAAGGTTTATACTTTGTAACTGCTATCAAACATTGCTATTGATGAAGACACTAAGAGGAAGGATAGCAATGAGATAAAATATCAGTATTTTATAATGCTGAATGAAGCAATAAGCCATACAAAGATGAAAATTATTAACTATAAATTATAAATATAAAAAAAATGTGAAAATCTGATAGTTTCCGTCTTACATTTGACAAGAAATAGGACATATCTCACTTGACTTAACAAAGATAATCCCTCCTTACAATCAATAAAGACGAACTTCAAACATAATTTCAAATAATATACTTTCGATGTTTAAGCTTCTTTGTAGAGATCATAAAACAGCCAAGGAGTCCGACTAATGCTATGGAGACAATGAGGTGATGATGAGTGTTTATAAGCACGCCAGGTGCCCTCTGAAGCTGCATCTAGGTAGGAGCATGGAAAAATCGGGAAATGTTTAAAAACTGATAACTACTTCTGGCAAAATGTTATACTTACATCAATTTTGTACCAGTCTCCATTAATTTGTAAATGGGACTGGAAAAATAACATCACTACATACAAGATCTGATCGGGAAACTCAGTAGGACCTTAGGCCAAGTTACGACAGGAGAGTTTGAAAACATGAATTAACGCTTCCTGATAGTTATATCACAACAGGGGCCGAAATTTGAAATTGTATGTAGAACCTTCATTCTACATAAGGTAGAATGTGGAATTCTACATTCTACCTTATGTGGAATGGAAGATTGGGAGCTAACTATATGATAAAAAGAATGACAGAACTTTTTTAGGAGTAAGTCTTCGGGTTCCCTTTGTTTTTATTATCAGCAAAATAATCTCTGTGGCTTCCATCTTCTGTGTCCAACAACACAATTCAGCCCTAAAAATCCAGACACTTTACTTTCCAAAAACTGATTTTAGAATAATGAGCTACCTGGATTACCAAATCAAAATTGAGACGTGATATGACTTCAAATTTTAAAATAGAGAGTTTATATGTGAGTTTTCCTGATTTCCTGATTCAGGGTTAGATATTCAGCTGTGTTTGGGATCACCAAGGCTCTCTGTATGCCCCAGGTAACACTTACTCGAGTGAGCGCTGTTGTTCTAATATCTCTGCCACTGTCCTCTCTTCCACTGGTTTACGTGGCTTAACTTCCTCTTCAGAATCCTGTACAAACAAGTGCTATAGTATAAGATACTCGTATTGACTTGCATTTAATTACAGAAAAAAAACTACATCATGCATCATATATAATAGCTGTATGTCAGATATCACCTAGTTCTCATGAAATCTCACAGAATTAAAACATTTCAGTAAACTACTGCTTGTTTTGAGAAACAGATTAACATGATTCAACACAAAAACATGGACTTTTGTATTAACGCTTATTGGCCAGAAAATGGTTTGCTGAAACTTCTGGCTTACCTGTGCATATGGATCTGTGTGTCTGAATTTGGCAGCCATTTCCATTGGATGTAGTAAAGGAGCAGGTCCGTGTGAACCTGGAGCGGGAACCCTCATACTGGGGGCGTGGCCTCGGGGGTCACCAGTGGAAAGGGCGTGGCTTTGTATGTTGTAGGCAGGGCTTTGTGTGTAAGGGACGGGGCCTCGTGTGTGTTTCATCCCATGTATAACTGGCTGTACCACAGACCTAGGATGTTCTGTGTGGGAGACTTCTGTGTCGGACAGGGAATACTCGGACAAGGTCGGAGCTGTGATAAAAATGTTGTCATGAGAGAAACAAGCAGATGGGTTTTCAGCAAACATATTCAAAGAATGGAATGCTAAACGTATTATTTGATAATTATTCCATTTTACTGAAGACTATACTCTGAGAATGACAGATCCAAAAAGTTTAATTTTGCTTCCTTCTTGTGAAAGTTCCACTTTTTCAAATTATGGGCATTTTGGTTACACCAAATACACTATGCAAACCTATATTAAATTACCACCTAACATCTTAATACTACACAACTTTTTTATATTCAGCATTATATCTCTGACTGATCACAAACAATCTTTTCACTACATGTCTTGCAATGTCAGATCAGTTTTTAAATTTTTCATCAAACAATTCCGTCAACCAGAACTGTCAACCAGGGCCGCTTTCGTTTAACGTGATCCAAACGGTTGAACCAGTATGACGAAAGTTGTTCATTTATGAAATAAGGTCAGAGCTAGTAGTCAGATGCTGTTTTTAGGCAACAAAGCCTTGCAAGGCCTGCATAAAACCAGACAAACCAGTTGTTTCGCATAAATGAGCAGGGCCCAGGGTTGCATTGGTTCTTGGACCTTAGACTGACTTGCCTGGTCAATTTTAAAAGACAAGTTCACCAATCCTCCAAATCAGAGATTTCAGACATGTTATTGTATTAACTCTAGGACAAGAATACCTTTGTCAAAGCCATTTTCCTGGTAACCGTTGGAGATAGGGGGTTGGCCCTCCTGACCAACATTCCGCATGTCCCCCACAGACTTCGACACCCACTCCTGACGTTGAGTCTTGATTTTGTCCATCAACTTCCGGAGTACTTTTTCTGCAATGTGATTCAAAAGGATAATAGATCTCCTGCAGATTAAAACTGATTCCTGGATAGACATAAGGAAAACGACAATACTGAAAACAAGTCAACACATACTATTACTACATAATTTCTCGTGAAACCTTAACTAGTTAAAAACCTTCATTTAGTAAATTGATTCCTGCAATATTTTCGTCAGTATACTTTTTGATATCTTAGAAATTAAAAAATGTGTAGCGTTAAATTAAAAAAAAAAAAAAATGGTAAAAGATTATTTGTATGCTGTTGGGAGGCAGAATCAAGGATAGTATAAGTTTTCAAAATTTGATCTGGTTCTTTTTCCATGTGTATATCTAGTTTTATATAATTATTTTTTATTATATTATCACGCTAAAGGAAGATACCAAAGTTTATAATGAGGATTACCAGGTTTTTTGGCTGGCGGTTTATCACTGGGTTTCCTTGGGGTGTTGGTCATGTCTTTGAGGACTGAAGGAATGGAACCCAGTGTGGATTCAGGGAGAGGTGCTTCGTCCAGAGTGGACACGTCAAGGGACTCGCTGGCGGACGGTGTCTCCGGGGGAGGATGAGGGTCCAGAGCGAGGCTCAGATCTCCCATAAAGTCTGAAATATCACATTGCCATTAACACATATAATCCATTTTTCTAAAATTTACTGAAAGTTAAGAAGAAAAAAGAAAAAAAAAGAGCAACCTTATATTAATGACATTTACATTGACTTTTAATAATGCATTGTAAGTAAACATAAAGTCTGAAATATCACATTACCATTAACACATATAATCCATTTCTCTAAAATTTACTGAAAGTTAAGAAGAAAAAAGAAAAAAAAAAGAGCAACCTTATATTAATGACATTTACATTGACTTTTAATAATGCATTGTAAGTAAACATAACGTCTGAAATATCTTGGTGCCATCAACACAAAGATAATCTAATTCTATGAAAATTGCTTAATGTCAATAAATTACACAAGTTTAAAAAACAAAATTTGTATAGCATTGACATGGACCTTTTATACTGCAGTGAAACATCAAGTCTGAAATATCTCAATGCCGTTAACAGTACTTAACACACAGATAATATATTCTTCTAAATTCCTTAATGTCAAGAAATACACAAGTTTATAAAAACAATTGACTCAAAGCATTGACTTAACATAATGCATTGTCCATTATTGTATGGTTCTACACTTACTTGTCTCCGCCATGTACATGTCCTCGAAGGCTTCCTCCATGTTTTTCTGTTTGTCTTCTTTATCCTCCATACGAAAATAAGGGGGCTCATACACTTGTTTCTGTTTAACAAATAAATATTTATGTTCAGAGTTATTTAACAACAATAAGGTGCTATATACATGCATACCACTCAATATACATTCGTGTTGCTCTTGGGCTTATGTGGACCAGTGATTCAAACACTTGTTCCTGTTTTAAAATCAATCATAATAATAATTAATAATAATTTGAGGTTCTTATATACTGCTTTATCACAACCTAGATCATAGGTCGTCTCAAAGCGGTTCACAAATTATTATCCATGATTATAGGGCCTTTGCAACCAGCCAATATCTTTCACAACTCCCTGGGGAGCATACAGCTTGTGCTGCCATTTCGGCACTCACAGCTAGCATTCAACAATTTTAGCACTACCCAACCACGTACTCATTTACAGCTGAGTAGACTGGAACAAGCGGAGTAAAGTGTCTTGCTCAAAGAAACAACACAGTGCCGTGCCGTGACTCGAACCTGCAACCCTTCGGTCACGAGCCCGGCGTCCTTCCACTAGACTTCCGTGCCTCCTACATAGCTCTATAGTAACTTAACAAACAAAAGAAACTGGTCTAACATTGTCAATGAACAGTGAAAGCTAAAGAATTCAATTGAAGTGCTCCACTAATTGTTCACATTTTATACTTGCCAACTTTTGAAATTTCCATGTGGGAGATTACACATGCTCAGAATCAAAAGCTTTAATAAAATGTGTGTAAGTACACCCCAGGGAAAAAATACCTTTAACTGGTATCTTTTGAGCTGATCTTTCAGATAAAATCATCAGACCTTAGAAAATAGGATTAGTTTAGCAAGTTCTCTGGTTGAATATGCTCAATTTAGGGTCCCAAAAATCGGGAGTCTCCCTCCTAAATAGGAGGGTTGGCAAGTATGGCATTAATTTATTAAGAGTAGAAGTCCTTACTGGGATGTTTGCCACCACTCTCTGTCTCCGCTCACGGTCAGTTCTCTGTAGGTCACTCAGGTCCGCCAGGATGTTGTTGTAGTCCTGTTCATCACATACGTAAAATCAAACATACAGAATGTATTGTGAAAAGAGACATAATTGTAAAATGATCTATCATATCAGGTAGTTTAAATGACGTGTATTTACCAAAACCATCTATAACTTTCTATTGTTATTAATATAACTATATAATGTCGGGCATTAGACTCTCAGAAGTCCCAAGGTTGGTTGACAACTTCATATACCAGTTTAAGTCACAATATAACAGAAGAGAAGGTCCAAAATAAGCTGACTGACCACATAATCAAGACAAGGTCTGGACTATGTTCACCGTGGTCTGATGACTACCAGGTATATTGCAGGCCACATGTTCACCAAGACAAGGACTGTACTTACATGACTTAGGAGTTCTGCCTCGAGGGCTTTGTTGTGTCGGACCCTGGCACGAGCCAGACGGTCGTGATGAAGACGCACCAAATCCTGATCTTGTTCCTTCATCCTGATTTCCTCCTCCTCCGCTGCCCGCCGTGCATCCTCCTACAACATTTGACCACAACGTAAGTAAGAGGTTTAAATGCTAATCTCTTTATGTTGTAACTACATACTATGCCTGCTCATTATATATAAGAAGTTACACTACACAACTTTACCGGGAATTCTTGTTAAAGTCGGTTAGTAAACAACATGAACATGAAGTATGCAGCTCAAAATCTAATACAAAATTTGCATTAAGTAATTTCAGATTGATGTTTTTTTGTTAATGTAGAAAAATATTTTAACCATAAATTTCTTACCAAAAGAGAAAAATAATATGTACCCATGTAAAGATAAAAAAAGTTTGGAATGTTTGAATGTGTTACATTGACCATTACCCTATTTACATACAATCGATCAACAGAAGTTTTGGACTGAGACACAGTATTAGCTGTGTAGTGGTGTTTGTGTGAAGATACCAACCTGCTCATTGGGGCCGGCCTTGTCTACAGCGTAGTCCTCCAACAGATGGTAGTGTGTGGTGGAGAACGCATTCGCATCTGTCATCTTCACGGAGGGCTCTGATAACACAGTTAAGTTAAAGTCAAATAGAAGCATCTCAGTTTTACGTATAGGATCTTACATGAGTTTCCATTTCATGTGAGATCTATGAAACGAGTCTAAGATTTTTTCAATTTAGCAAGCCTCTGGCGAGCTAAAATGAAAAATTTGTGGCGAGTTTCATAAATTTCATATGAAATGAAAACGAGTGTAAGATCCTTTTTATCACATAATCAAAATTTGCGGCACTTACAATTATTCGTGTAAAGTGACAGTTTTCATGCAACTTTGAAATGTAAAAAGCCGCCATTTTGACTCCAGTGCATTAGTTTGTGACGTCATGTACTTATCCGAGGCTAATGTCACGATTGAGACAATTGAAACTTACAACCAATCACAGGGCTTATAGGTCATATTACATGGGTTGATACGCAAACAAATATGACATGGGTATATTCACTGGATAACACAGTACATTATGTGGTAAAATTGCATTCCTCATGTACCAATTAAAACCTATCGTACAGAAACTCCACACAGAAACTGTTTACACAAGAAACAATATTACATGTTTTCTTAACAACTAGTTCTATTTTAAATATTCTGGTTACATGACTCACTCAATATTCATTAAATCTTATATTTGAATGTAAATATTATCATTATATAGCTTTCTTTCATAACCTTAAGATAAAATTCATTTAAAAACAGTTGAACACCTACTTTTAGGGACTCCCAGGTTCAGAACAGGATCAGGAGGTGGCGCTGGTAAAGACGCTATCTTGGAGGCCCTCTCCTTCTCCATCTCTAGGGCGGACTTTCTACAAAACAGAGGATGTATTAGAATATTGCCTCTTCTACAATTAGTGGTATCATACTTCACTGTCTAGTTATTCTACCATTAGTAATACTTCACTCTGAATCACACTTGCCAACTTTTTGAAATTTCCATATGGGAGATTCTACATGCTCAAAATTAAAACATGAATAAAATGTGTGTATATATATATACATGTATGGGTCAAAGAAGTAATATAGACGGTAAAATCCCATATAATATTGGATCCTAATGGAGGTATGTCCGTATAATAGCTATATTTTCAATTATAGTATATCAGTTCTATCGTCTTGTAATATGATGTATATGTACATGTAACTGTTCTGTTTCACTGTGTCTTGATAAAGGAGCGGATCACTCCGAAAATTTGACAAACTAAACTTGTCCACACTGTTGGAATTATTTCGTTGCCCCATATATATATACATGTAAATACCCCCTAGAGACAAAATAACCCTTTAGAATTACATATTTTGAGCTTTTCTTTCAGATGAGATCATTAGATCATAGAATAAAGGTATAGTTTAGAATACTCTCTGGCTGAAACTACCAAATTTAAGGGTCCAAAATGGGGAGTCTCCCTCCTAATAAAAAGGGAGAGTTGGCTAGTATGCTGAATGGTTCATCATTTCTGTCTCCAGCTTACACATCTTACTTATCGTTTTAGCATAAACAGTTATGTTACACTGTATAATTCTGCACCAAACATGATTGTCTATTCAATAATGCCTAAATGTTACTAATTCTGTAACATTTTATTGGAGCTAGAATCAGGTCCTTACTTGGCTGCAATGATCTTGTTTTCCTCGTACTCCTGGTAGATTTTGTCTCGTCTTGCCTTCTCTGTCGCTGCCTTACCCCGAGATTCTGCTCGCTGGTTGTCTAGTTGTCTCACCATGTGGCGCTCTGCATCCTGATCCACCTAGTAACAGACACAACAAAAGTCACAGGGGCTTATCAGAGAGTTTTGGGAAACCGACCCTGGGATGAAATTGGGAAAGAATCATGAACTTATATGAAACAGTTTGGGAATAAATGAAATTAGAATGTTAACCTTTTTAACTTTCATTCAAGCCTTATTCTCCGACCCTTGACACTTACATGTTTCTGACATCTTGCAAAGTATTTGTAAAATGTTGTTATACATGTATAAACTTAAAGTCTTGTATGGATCATATTTCCTTTTTCTAACATTAGTTACGTTTCATTCACACCTGTATCAACCACGCTGGTTCCCTGACCCCAGACACCTACATGTTTCTGACACCTTGCTCAGGTTCCTGAACCCCAGACACATACCTGTTCACCAGCTTCCAGTTGACCTTGACCTATGGTATGAAGACAGTTTTCATACTGGGCCTCTAGATGGCGCACTTTCTCTTCTTTCTCCTTCTCCAGCTGGTTCTGTAAGTAAAAAACAGTTTCACTTAACCCTTTTACCTCTGTAAACCATAATGGACTCATCCAGATAAATGTATGGTAGAGTCTACTCAAGTTACATAGGGGTGAAAGGATTTACCCTTTCACCACTGTAGACCATATATACTAGACTCATCCATATCAATACATCGGATAGTCTACTAAAGTTACTTAGGGGTGAAAGGGTCAAACGTACAATATTAGATTTATTAGACAACAAAATTCTCCAAACATTTCTTTATGATTTTAGAAATAGAGCAGATTTTCATTTTTAATATGAAATCACTTTAGAATTTTCAGAATTATTTTTGCAGTGGTTTGAATATCCTATCGTCAAAGGGACAATTAAGAAATGGAAACAACTTTGCACATGTTCATTTTATCTATTCAGGACAGATTGTGAGTAGGTCTTGCTGTTCCTAATTAACTAGATGTATTGTCAAGTCAAATGCAACAATTTTGTAAGACACAAAACAGATATAATGGCAACTGAAGTATGGACCCTTCCTGGGATCATACATACCTGAAGCTCAGCTGCGAGCTTGTGAATCTGTCGGTCCTTCTCCTGTTTGACGGCCTGGCGGATTTTAGCAGCATTTTGTTTCGCTTGTTCTCGGACCTGCAGAGACAGTACGAATATGTGCCAAGAAACAAAGACAAAACATATTTCACAATACTGAATTTGAAAAATTTGTTTTGAAGCATTTCCTTAAAGTTTGGACTTAGAAAATTTAGGTCCGTCAAAGTTAAAGTCATTGGTTGCAGTTGTGTAGGATACATAAGGTTTAGTTATCTTTAATGAATGGATTTTAAGCAACTTTTATGCAGTTTTGTCAATCAAAAGTATAAATTATAGGAATAATGATTTTAATGCATACTTTACATTGTTTACATTTGATTTCAATTATGTACCGATAACATTGTTTATGGAATTTGTAATTGATAATCGAAATCGGAAATGGCAAACGAAACGATTTTTGATTCTAAACAATCATCAGCCCATAACTAGTTGCCAAAACATGAGACCACAAATAATTGATTAAATATAAGCTACCAGGGCTTTGAGTTAACTCACTTGCACGAGCCGTAGTTTACGACGTCTCTCCGTCTCGTCCTTGATGAGCTGAGCCTCCTCATTAGGACTGAGTCGGTACTGTCCTAGCTTCTTGGTCTTCATCTTCCTACCTGTGTACAGGAAACAACAAATACATACACATTAAGTTGTGGCCAGGAATTGTTTACAAATTAAAACATTAGCAATAACATATATCAGGGAAAATCCTGAAATTTGAGAGCAGTGGGCCATTTTCAGCAATTTTTAGTCATTATCAAAGGGGCCATTCTATGTAAAAATAAAATAAAATTGGAACATGGAGGGGTCAATTTTAATTTTGAGGCGTCAATGGCCCCTTGGTCCCCTCCACGATTATCCCTGTATATATTGCATACATGATCTCATAATTGAATTATAACTGTTTGAATTCAACACCGTAGAAAGAAATATTTTAATACAATGAAACCTGTCTAAATGAAAATAAAGTCATAGGAACAAAATGTTTTGGTCATCAGAATACACCTTTTTTGGTTTATTTCACTTAAAACGGTATCTATTGGGACCTAAGGCTATAAGTCTAGTTTATAATAGTTTCCAAATAGTCATTGCAAGATCTAGTTATAACTTGCCATATTGTAATGTAATGTATGATGTGGATTAACCTTTTCAGACAGCACAAAAAACATGCCCTAAAATTCTAAAAGGCAGCAATTATCATTTATGATATCACTGTTCTCGGATACATATTATCAAGAGATCGCAGGTCGAGTTTTCCTGGATAAATAAGAGCATCAGAATTAAGATTTCACTACATTCATTTCAGTTATGAACACAAGTATATACAGCTATTATAGAACATTTAGATTAAAAAAATGGAATAACAACTGCAAATGAGTTTTCTGAATTGATAAACATAGAAGGTATAAAAGTGCTACAGGAATTAAGGGAATAGTTTGCTTCACTGGGAATCGAACCCACGATCCCAGACTTCCTAGCCGGACGCTTTACCACTGAACTAGGGGGAAATTGTGCAAAGCTAGGAGGTGACCGTAATCCTTTGTACAATTAAAATCTGCTACAGATCATAGAGGTCATGCTGCACTAGGTTAACCCTTTCACCCCTATGTATCTTTAGTAGACTCTACCATGCATTGATATGGATGAGTCCATTATGGTCTACAGTGGTGAAAGGGTTAAGTACAGAATTACGGTGTTGAAACATTTAATAATTCTAACAAAGGACTTCAGATTAATTTAATTTGTCATTGCCTGTTTAGATAACTAGCTTCATCAGCACAATTAGATGAAATTTTAATTAATGGAGATTTTTCAAAGTACCTGGTAGATTGATATGTTATATATCATCGTGACAATGTCATACATATCAGGGGGAACAGAAGTCTGATATATACATCAACATTTAAATGGCATTCGTTCAATAACACTTGAACTTTTATGGTTTATTTATTGCCTGGCAAAAGGTAGGTGTACAAACACAGTCTGTTAGTTTTATGTACCAATACCTGTGTCGGTACGTGCCAGTTGTACTTTCCAAGCTAAGTGCCAACATCTATAAAAACTTTTATATATATATACATAGAATTACCACAACAAACAAAAACTGAAACACTGGCCTAGTAGCTGCAAATTGGATTTGTAAAATGTTATATTATATATATATATACACATATAAACTGAAAGTGTTGTATGAATCATATTTTCTTTTTATAATATTAGTTTAATGTTTCATTAACTGAAAGACATTCTTTCATTCAGATTTTATACTAAAACTTGAGGAACTTTGTGGTGTAGCTGGGATACCATTCAACCTCCGACAGCAATAAACCAACATGGCTGAGGAGATTGTCTGATCTCTTGGTGCCCACAGACAACACCACTTAATGTATTGATCCCTTCGCATAAATTTCTATTAAACAGGGCCAAATTTCAGACAAGAAATTTTGATCTGCATACCAAGTTGTCACTCCCTGTGCATTTATATATATGTACGTTGATATTGTTCATCCATATGTACTCCGATCACGGTAAATGAATGATTCATTCCAATTTTAAGTAGTTATTTTGTATACTGTATAATAAACTCCATGTAATATACATCATTAAATAATTGTAATCATAATACAGTATACCTGTCTTCATACGATCTTAGCTGTTGTTAGGACGTTAAACCCCATATATACAAACAAGTCATAATATACAACATTTATGGAAAAAAATAACCTAAAATGAAAATAAAATTGTTGACTACCTATTTACTTTAAATGCACTTTTTAATCCATTGTGGGAACTCGTATATACATGTATGCCTGTTTCAGAATTTCTAACACCGTTTTTTTATACAACAGCAAGATAAAATGTATGTCCATAAACTACCTGTCTATAAAGATGTCTTTATGTATTTTATCTACATGTTTATGGTTGCAATATGATCTGTCATTGTTAACATAAAGAAAAGGAACGCCTACAAGTGCACACAGTATACAAATATTTAAGGTATAATAGAGTTATGTTAAATATTTCTAGTACACTTTATATTGAAGTATGGAATAAAAGTATACATGTCAGCAAGTAAATATTTGGATAGTAAATGTACGTGGTTATATGTACTTTTAGAACATAAGGCATTTCGAAAACATTTCACTGGTACAACATTTGGTACAAACTTAACTGATGTTACGTACTGTTTTTATCGTATCTGGTCGACGGTGATGTTTATGGTTTACCTTTGTAAAGATTTAGATTATTCATTATTTATAGAGCTATATGCATGTCACTGTTTTCATATATGTAGTTGGTATAAATGTACAAAGCTTACTGCTGATAATTTTATCATTTATGGTGCTGCACGATATAATTTCTTAATATCTGTGAAAATGTTTACCGCTGATAATTCATTATTTACAATGTTGCATGTCACTATTTTATCAAAACTGGTCGGTATACAATTCCACATTTAGTCATGCAGGAGGAGATATCTGAGCATACATATACTGAAAATATGTTTGGTTTATATCTGTAATCTTTGAACATTAAACATAACATCTCCAGCACTCACGCATGCATATACACATAGGGAGATATTAGCCAGGTGGCATAGGACTGGTAGTGAGCTCCTGATAAGACCGCTCCTGCGAATTCCACAAAATTGTATTGATTAATGTATATGCTAATTGTATTAATTGTATATATATGTACTGTAAAGCGCTTTAGAGTGGCTTATGTTAGCTAGATAGGGCGCTATATCAAATGTTGTATATTATTATTATTATTATTAACATAACCATACAAAAATTTACTATCGATCTAGAGTTCACTTCTACCAAATTATGTTATTATATTCATTTGTACCATCATGCATCAAAGACATGGGAACATTTCTAATTCTTTATATATCTGACCAGTAAAACAAATTATATTTAGCACAAGACACCCTCATCCCTGACTTCCTCAGCAATTAGGGCATGAAGGGTTTTGATTGGACGAGGTATAAAATGTAATCTTTGTCCTATCTTGGTGCTGTCAGTCGCACGACTACCTGGGTCGGTAATTGTCTCTGGGACCAGATTATATAGTGACTCGGAACAAAGCGCCCACATTCATGAATTACATGTGTATAATACCATATCTGTATACATAGACCTAGCTATTCCTGTACTGACATACACACAATAAATGATAGTATTACTGGCCGGTAGATATATACTGTATTATCCTTATCCGGATAGACATAAACACCCTTCTTTTGTTTGCTTTTAAATAAAGATAAATGTATTTATGGTAAATTTGCCTCCTGCAGTCTTCTGAAGATACCTTTTGATATTTTTTTTTTAAATGTTCATATTTGAAATTGAACTACCTGGTTAGCATATATGAATATAATTACAAGTGTAAACCTGTATGGACCCATTTATAGTATAACTGATCAGAATGCCTTCTTTAAGCAATAAACTACAATTCATTTTAATCTTATAATTCTTGTTTAATTGCTGCCTAAGAATCAGGAAAAACTATTGTTATTGTTCAAATCAAACAAACATTCTGTGGGCGACACACTTGCCTCAAATTAAACAAATTGCCACGATCACTTCTGCTTTTTTAACCCTTTCATCCCTAGGTTACTTTAGTAGACTCTACCATACATTGATCTGGATGAGTCCATTGTGGTCTACAGTGGTGAAAGGGTTAATGGTTTAAGGAAGGAATGTTCCACATTTCAATCTTAATGTCAATGTAACACTTAAGATAACATTTCAGGCCCGTGGGTCTCAACAGTCACCTGAGTTGTAATATAGTTGTTGAGACATGAAGTGGATATAATCACTCATGATAAAGACTAACATGTAGTACATACAAAGCAAAAATAGCACTGTGAAATTGTCGACAAAATGATGTAGAGGCGTGGCCAATATATACAATATGTTTAGATTAAGTATATCTGTCAGAAACCAGCGTATAAACGTCTTCTCAATCGTCAGATACCCACGAGTACCGAAGCAAAATCAACTGTGGGTATCCGACGATGCGTCTTCTCCGGTTTGAGTGGGTACCGAAGCAAAATCAACTGTGGGTATCCGACGATGCGTCTTCTCCAGTGTACATATTGATATCAAATGCTGATCGATAATTATATAATTATGGAATATATGAATTGCAACATGACCCCTTAGCTTTATGATTCTTGAGAAGTTGTTTCCTGGTAAATTTGTTTGATCTCTTTAACCTTTACAATGAACAGTAGTTATGGTAATACTCCTTCCCAGGTAGCCACTGGCTAAATTTGTGGCTTTACCCTTGTGCCCTTTACTAAATGTTGAAGTAATTTATCTGGACAACTTTGACAGCCCTCAATATCCCAGCTAGGTTCTGACCAACCAGAATCCTGGTTTTAATGATGTCTAGAAGCAGACGGCTACTACCATGGACAACAAAACTAGACCTTATACATCTTTAAGGGAAGATTTGAATATGTTTGACCCTTGAAATCTTGAAAATGATTCAAAGTTCATGATTTTTCATTATCGCAAGCAACAAGCGAAATATCCTTACTTTATATACATTATTCACAAAAGAAAAGAGGTTTTTAGGTCTATCCAACCCATTTGATGCCTCA